TAAACAATTAATTAATGCCGTCCAAGATTTCTTAAACATTTCTGACACAACATTTCCAAATTTAAGCCCGTTTACTAACAAATGATTTTTAATAAATTTTTGCAAAAAAAATCGGTTTTAATAAAGTAGTAGCCTGTAGATTTTACATCTAGCGTGTTATGGAAATTCCGAGGGAAATTCGGATAACATATTCAGATTTTCCGAAAACGGGAACCGTCAATTTCCGACCGTTTAAGCTAGGGAAAATCAAAACCGTTACGGAGATCGCAAGGACCTATTAATTTCAACCACCCTGTACAATATTTTTGATCAAAAAATTAGTACCCGCTCCAAACCGAGTGTTTTTTATGTAGGTAAAGTGATTCGAAATGGAGGAAAAATACTTAAAACAGCCGAATTTTTCCGCGGGCGAAATCTCGGGGGTTGAAAGTGATTGCAATTGTAACCGAAAATGTTGGAAGTAAAAGTTGTAGGGAATACAAAATTAACAACTTTCTACTTTTTTACACATAACCGCCCGACAAAAACTTAAAAACTGTTTTTCTTTTAGTTTTTTAGTGCGCTTTCACTTTCAAAAAATAAAAAGTGCACCTTTACGCTCTTGATATGCCTGTCTGTCTGTCTGAGTCATAAAGGCTCCAGAACTACACACATTTGAAAGGCATTCTTCGCCTCTTGCTCACAATCGGCTTCACGAATTTTTAATTTTTGCGAAAAAGTTGCAAGGATCTAAAATTTGGAGCATTTTTTTTTACAAAAAAGACTCATGTTCGAGCTCATATCGTTGAGTGAATTACTCAATGCTCATATTTTAACCTCGATTTTAACAGTCAAAAATACAAATATATCTTTCCGATAGAAAAATTTCGAGAAAATCGCCAAAAATTGAAAAAAAAGGGTGTGCACATATTTTACCCCTCCACCGTATTCCTCCGAGAGAACGTATTTTTCACGCGGGTTAAAGAAAAAGGAGCATCGCTGCATCAATCGTCAAAGGAGACTATGTTGAAAAATAAATCAACGCTTAGTTTTTATTAGTTTATTAGTATTAATTAATTTTTCTTTTGTAGGCCAAGTACTTGTCGGACCACCCTCGTATGTTACATTTTAAACAATGAATTAAAACCTTCAAGCTTTCCTAAACATTTTTAAATTAGAAGAAATGTCATTGATTTTGTTATAGGGCCAATATTAACGCCAGAAAATAGTTTATAAATTCAAAAAATCCGATTTTTTCAAAAATTTTCAAAAATATCCTAATTTTTTTATGGATTTCTAAACGCTACCCTCTTAGGCCTTTGATTGCGCAACTTTTCTTCCATTTTGTACCAGATTTGTATCTCTTACCCTTTCTAGAATACCTATAGTGGCCCTCCTTATATCGGACACAGTGTATAATACAAATTTTTTAAAAATAACTTCATGTTGAAATGTGGTGGAGGGGATACCTTTTATGGGGTAGCTAGTGCTAACCAAATTAAACGGCAAAGCAAAAATAGTTCACGTAAAGCATTCCATTATGCATACCCCGGTTTTAAAATGGCTTCGATTTCAAAATGAGGGGAGGTTTATCTGCATTTATGGGACAGCCTGTAAATCCTGTAAAGAAAATCAATCGCCAAAATAAAAATATACACTGTGTCCAAGATCAGGATATCTATATCATGGGGATCTCTGAAACGACGATTAGAGAAAAGATGCGCAATTAAAGAGTTATTAGCGTGCTTTAAAGAAAACAAGTTGAAAACTTTGTTAGTAGTTTCAACAGGATGGCGCGCCCGCGCACAACATCCTAATCGTGTGAGAATACCTATCGCGAAAATTTCCTGGACAATGGAAAATTTGTCCGATAGGTATTCTCGCACGATTAGGGCGTTGTGCGCGGGGGCACCATCCTGTTGAAACCAACAGTTTCCAATTTTTTTGGTATGTGTCGTATATGGTTGTACTCGTAATAAAAAATGCAACTCAATACAGTATGATTTTCCTTTACGGACCATATAACAAAATGCGATAGAAAAAAATTTTAAAAGGTCCGAAGTCTGTAAAAATTCTAAATAATGCTAGTAAAGTACACCAAAATTCTACAGTGATTTTCCCCTAGGGGTAAGCCACTTCAAATTTTGTGGACACTAAAATTGTAAACAATTCTAGAAAATTCTAACTGTGTGTACATGTGGGTTCCAAAAAATTCTAGAAAATTCAAAAAAGTTTAAAAAAAATTCTAGGAAAATTATACAAAAGGTTAGTAGTATACACCAAAATTCTATAGTGATTTTCTCCTCGCTCGGATATAATAAAGTAAAATAATATTGTGTCCATATAACAAAATGCGATACAAAAATTGTAAAATTCTCGAAAAAGTCTATACAAATTCTAAATAGTGCTAGTAATGTACACCAAAATTCTACAGTAATTTTCCCCTAGGGGTAAGCCACTTCAAATGTTGTGAACACTAAAATTGTAAACAATTCTAGAAAATTCTAACTGTGTCTGCATGTGGGTTCCAAAGAAATCTAGAAAATTCAAAAAAGTTTTAAAAAAATTCTAGGAAAATTCTACAAAAGGTTAGTAGTATACACCAAAATTCTATAGTGATTTTCCCCTCGCTCGGATATAATAAAGTAAAATAATAAAATGTCACCCTCCATACCTCGCTCCATACTTTTAGATAAATTTACAAGAAACATTTCAAAATCAAATGTTTTACATTCATTTCTCAACAAAACATCCACGGGTAACTATATCTTGCCGAATCAACATGGCTATGATGGCGATGCATTCAAATGAATTTCTTTTTTTAATCTTCTATCTCATTCCGTAACAATCTAATATGGCGTCCATCAGAAATAACCGACACCGACGTATAACAAGTCTCTGCATCTCAGTTGTTTTCAAAGATTTTTCAAAAATTTCAAATGCGTTTTTTTGCCCCCCATTTAATTACACTGTATCTCTCACCGTTACGGAGATCCCAAGGTGAAGCACGAATTTGAACCACCCTGTACTGTGTTTTTGTCACTTATTAAACACATTCTCATTGCTTTTTTGTTTATTTTTGAGGTTCTGTTAATTTAAAAGTATCTACATTTAAGGTGCAATACAAGGTGTCCATGTAAAAATTTTAAATGGACTTTATATTTAGTGTTTTAAAAGATATCGACTTGAAATTTTGAAATCTCATCAAGGAAGTAGAGGGAAAATTAGTAGTATAGCCTCAATGTGATATTTGCCGCCCCCAGCCACTCCTGGTCAAAACATTCAAATGACACCCTGTATTTTTTTCACGTAATCTGAAAGAGCGTAGTTTTTTTAGTATCACTATGCAAAAAAATGACTTAATTACATAATGTACTTTAGACATTTACAGCTAAAGGTTCACACATACTGAATACGTGGAAAAAATACAGGGTGTCATTTAAATTTTTGCAGCGGGGTTGGCTGGGGGGGGCTGTGACCCTGTAGACCCATGTAACCTATGTAGCTGTTGAACAACACACCCTACCATAAAGACAGACAGACCGACATAATTGTAGCTTGTGATACTGATACTGACAGACAAAACAAAGATATTTTATAGACTTCCTGGCAATAGAAATGTACGGTATGTACCAAAATATACAATACTATATAGACGTCTATTATTTATACCTTATAAACACTTTTTCCTCAGTCGTGAGACCCATTCCCAAATATAACATCACACAACAACGTTCTGTGCACTACTAGCAACACAAGGCTGCTACGACATACGTCACATGCGCATAACAGTGGCGCGCAATTCAGTATTTTGTATAGGTATTATGACGCATAAGCCTATTAGTATATACAGAGTGATTAAAAAAATTGTTTCATTTTAAAATCGGGGGAATTTTACAAGTTTTAGGGTGGACCCTGCAAAACAAAAATCTGTGAATTCTGGACAAAAATGTGTACATTTCCCTTTCAATCTCTAAAGATTCTATTATTTTCCTAGACATCTATTTCATAAAAAATGTTCATTTCTAACTGGATGCAGGTCTAGAAAGTTGTTTACACATCCACATGTGATGATAGTGGATTTTACAGCCATTTTCAGTTTTCACACAAATTACCACCATCGCGGCCCTCATACAAAAAGTACCCGAGGTTGATATGTGATAACTGATAGGGTTATCAATTGAAACCCTTCTCAGTTGTCTGCAGTGCTCCTATAAAATTATGGCACCCCCCATTAGACTTTCGAAAAAACACTATAAACCCAACTAAAAAGGGAAGTAATTCGTCTTTTGTTTAAAAAACCCAAAATATAAGCAGGTCTTGGAAATCTAATCAAGGCGAAGGATAAGATTTGGCAGACTACTTGAATTCCAATGGAAAAGCGACGCAATTCGATACCCACAATCGCGGGTACAATTTTCCTAAAGTCGAATTTGGAAACGATCCAAAGCGCGCCCCCCCACCTGGGACCTTTGTCCCACACATCTCTTTGTCCTTGACCAAGACAGACAGACTCCTTGATAGTAGTACTCCGTCCGCTAATTATTTCAATTAGTCAACATGAGTTGCCGTAGTTGTTATTGAGAAATTTCTGGTAGGTATTTTTAAAGGTTCAAGCGAAGTCAAGTTCAATGTGTGACATTGTAATTTACAGGTAGGTATCCAAATCATGTTTTTTTTCCTATTCGTATCTTATCGCCGTGAAAATACTATTATTTTCGTTGATGAATTAAAACACGTTAGGTAGGTCGTAAACGTGTATATCCGAAAAGCTGGTGCATTACCAAAATCGATTCCTTTCGATTCCTTTGTTCAGAGATTTGGAAAAATTCGACTCCACGAATATTTAAATGCGGGGGGGTGTCGTTATTGTGGGGGGGACTTACGACGTGGAGAGGTGCCTTATATAATGTCAGCGTGGTAAGAAGAACTTAAAAGGATCGCGCAAAACAATTTGATCGAACGAAGGATAGTGAAAGTGGTGATTTTACGCAATGTCTAAATAAATGGGATCATCTCACCTGGTCCCGACAATTCAGAATCTTCTATCTCGTCGTCGGACTCCGTTCCAGAATCGTGATCCTCATCAGCCTAAGAGAAAAAAAATAAATAGTTGTGGTACGAACGTGGGATACCCAGTCGGCCATATTTAACCGGCTCCGAATTTGCTCATTATTTCAAAATTTACCCGGCGAATTTTACCAATTTTCCATTTAAACTATAAACCGAACACGGGCAAATCACCCCGTGGAAAATTGAACCGAAAATCTCCGCGGAAATCGGTAAAAATCTAAACGGAAACTTGCATTCCTTTGTTCCAGCCAAAGAGGCAGCCATTTTTCACTCAGATATGACCTTCACTGGGGTTATCCTGGTGAAAATTTGATTTTTTTCACAAAAATTTTCATCTACTTTACCTTTTCCGTGAAATTGTCCTCATTGATTGAATGCGTTCGCAGCTTATGCGTAAGAAACTTTAGCATATTTCGTTTTCGAGGATACTTCAGTTCTGGTTTCGCCGCCACAATTACCGATTTTTAATCAACTAATAAAGAATCTAAACACCTTTTCGATACAAAAACATGCTTATAACTTACGCTAAGTTATACAAAAATATTTATCGGACATTTCCCGGAAAACCTCAACGATTACTTTTCAACGACCGGACCGTACTATACTACTCATTGTACGTGTAGTCAGCTGCACTACGTGCGAGGAACATTCGATTCTTACTACAAGGGGGAGACGCGACGGATTCCTCTTGTTTTAACACTGTTGCAATCCGTAACTGGACACTTCGGTCTTAAAATTCGCCACAAATCCTCGCAATTACTCTAATTACGGCACACCCGCACTCGCGCCACGCGAAATCGGGGAATTTTCGAAAGGAATTCCTCGACGCACTCACCCTTCGCTTGCAATGGACCGCTCCATAACCCATTGATGACAGAGGTAGGTCTGTATGCGAGAGCGAATCTCATTGGCCGAATCCAGGCTTTAACTCGTTCATCCACGCTTGTGATGTCTTTTCCGTCTCTCCTCGCTTATTGCATAATAGGAATCCTAGTTTAATGCGTATGGCGTAGTATATATAGACTAGAGAAGTTAAAAGCGACATTACTAGAACAATTGCATCGCTATCCGTTTCTCTTCAACGCATGCAGGGATTAACGTGTAAAACGAAGACGAACGCACGAAAGCCCATGTTTTGAAGCGTATATGTGTTAGTATGCTTTTACTGTTTGGAACAACGTCCATTATGGTTATAAAGCGGCAAATGGGAATTTTTGGTCTTTGTGTTCGAGTTTTAGTTGAGCTTATTTCGTATACACTTCGTTGTTTCAATGATAACTCGTAGGGGAGTCATGAAGTGAAGTAGTATAATGCACTTTCTGAATGAACGCCGATATGGTGGTGAATTGTGGGCTTCCAAACTACCCTTTGTTCAACGAGTGGCGTTGCTTGCCCATTTCGCTTTTGTTTCGCTCGATTGATTGGCATACGAAAAAAATATTGCGCCAATTCTTCCGCAACGTAAATTTGAATATTCAGTTGATCGGCTTAGTTCAGAATTTACGAAATTGGATCATTTATACTCGCAAATGCCAGAAAGCACTTTTAGCGATGAATTCGTAAGTCATATAATCAAGATCAACGTGTAATCTTTGATCAACGTTTTAAAAAAATAAATTTGTAAAGACAATATAGAGCGAACAAAGAAACATATGAAGGTTTGGATGATACCTTAGAGATGGCGCACAAACTCTCTTGTGATTTTCAGTGACTCTATGAACACAAGTGGGCATACGGTTGCGTTGATTATACTATGCGATCAAAAATGAGTTGCTGTTGAGTGTAGTCACCTTTGGAACTTTTGTTTACTTGAACTTCCAAAGGCGACTCGACCGCCACTCAATTTTGTTCGCCTATATTACTTATCAAAGTACGGTTGTGATATTTTCTTTTGGTACCTAGTTGGGAAATCGTCCATGTTTTAACCAAATACACCAGATCAGTCGTAACAACGTGCTGGAAACAATGGTGCCAAAAATATTGTAACAGCAAAATTTACCAATTCGGTTAAACCAATCAGCTGAATGAGAAATTGGAAAAAAACATGGCAGACATAGACCATTATAACACAACATTAATTTCATAGAGGACAACCTCCCCACTTAGGGTTTTCATCCACCCCTCTAGACGAAAAAACTTCAGAGAAGTCTCATTTTTATAAAGGACTGCCTTATGGTAGTTGCAAAAGTTACCCTCTTCATATTAAAATTGTAAAATTAGTAACAGCTATAAGTAAGAATCCGGAAAGACTTCCTTTAAAATCGTTCAAAAAATTTCTACGCGTCTGGAGGAAAATGAAAGACATTCTGGAATGACGTACAGTGCTGTAGGTAGCGGTGTTCCGTAGGTTTCACGGAACACGGGAATTTAGAAAAGGTCTACGTACATAAAATAGCAAGAACTTATAAATTAAGATGGATTGCTGATCAAACAGTTGCATAGAGGTAGAAATGGCCCTATAGCACGTTCGCACCTCCAAATTCAGTATGGTGCTTATGGACATACAGTACATATGCTTGCCAAACGTGACAATGACAGCACAAGGAGATTATGTTTTGTTTTAATACTTCAATTTAATCATATGTCAATTTGACATCAATGCAGTTAGAAACAAGGATAGTATTATCGAAGAATGGCGCAAACTAGTAAGAGAGACAATTAGTCCATAAGACCCCATACTGAATCTGGGGGTGCGAACGCAATACAGTATGGGCTCGGCCATGATTTGCACATCTTAGTTATTTTCTAGGGGAATTTTCCTAGTGCTCAAGTTTGGAGACTATTGCAGCCTTGGAAAACATTTGGAAAATGACATGTGTCACAGTAATTTATTTAAGAAACGTGAGGTTAATGCTTGTTTATTAGTTGATTTGAATTTCGCGCCAAGTGAGTGCACATCATGGCTGCCCCCATGTAGGTGTCATTTGTCAATTCCTCATTAGCAGTCCATCTTAATTTATAATTTCGTGTACAATAGTCTGAAAAGAAGAAAGAACTTATAGAGGGCTGCTGTCCTCCCTACAGAGTTTCCTGGTATCTTTTAGGGATTGGACACGCTTGTCACAACCTTTTGGATGCCATTGAGACTTCTCAATACCAGAGGCTAAAAGGTTCTGAGAAATCGATGGGATGCTCTAGGTTTTAGAACACAATTTGAATCGCGTCCCCCTCCTGCACTTCTTCCACCTTCTTTAGAGGACATGAATGACAGAGCACTCTAGCCATTCGACATGGGGCCATTTCCAGGGCCTACGCTTTAAAAAATGTGGGACTTCTTCATACATTCATAATAAGGTGCTTTCAAGGTTAAAATTGCAACAGTGTTACACTCCAGGTCCAGAAGGTACCTAGTGGATTTTTGCGCTACGTATTTTCCCAGAGAGAAAAGAAGGACACAACTGTTAAGGTAGTGGTTCTAGGTATGTACAAATCGTACGTGAGTTTTGTAAAAAAGTACCTTGGAAAAGAAAAATGTGTTCCTTTTATAGTATTGAAAACGTTTGACTCAAATTAATAAAAAGGTTGCATTTTCAATGCACTCTCATTTAGAAAATTGGTGTATCCTTTACTCGAGACGCGCGTTTGGTGCCTAACCTTCGACCAGTTCCAGTAGAAACATTTTGGCAGTTGGTCCGGGATGCTATAAACGTTCAGGTTCGCGTTCACGTTGAGTTCGCGTCGCACCCCGGGCCAATTTCCAAAATTTGACCTTGCACCCCGGGCCAATTACCAAAATTTTACCTTACCCTCTTCAGCTCGCTCGGCACTTCAATACTATTACTTTTGCATTGAAGTTTTTTTCATAAGCCACAGGTATGGAAAAATGATACTTTCAAAAGCAGTGCCGAGCCAGCCGAAGGCCGCGAGCCAACTGCCAAAATACTTCTTGCTGTAACTGCCTTTGATTTAATTATCTCATTTTCATGGTACAATTTAACATGTTTTATATTTGTGACGGTTATGGACCCAGGGTTTTTGTCCCGAAGAAGGTTTCCCTGGTATCGTCTTTTGGATTTGCATGCGTAATGTATTTTATTTGGTAACCCTTCTCTTAGGCACAAAATTCTCAGTGTTATTCAATTCCCTTCCCGATTTTGTCTCACGTTCCAACACATAAAAGAACCGATTATATAACGTAGTTCAGTCCGCTACCGAGATTCAAAAGTGCCGCGAAACGTACGTCGTTTCGGATAGTTTTTAGAGATCATTACAAACTGTACAAGTTTAGCTAAAAACCTTGAAAGACCGTTAGTCTTTAAAAGCTTTTAATGGTAATAAAAAGGAGTCTTATGGAGTTTTAAGAGCACTATAAAAATCATTAAGAATGTTTTAAACCTTTATGAATTCCCATCAAGTATTTGAAATCTTTCCTTGAGGAGGAATGTTTTGAGAATATCCATGGGCCTTCAAAGGTTTCTAATGAGTCTCTAGGGACTTTTTCTAAGTTTTGAGAAGCTTTAGGTGTTTTTAAAAGTCCCTAAACCTAAAGAACTGGATCTGTAAGAACTTCTAATTTTGAAGCATGTACCGGAGTGAAGCGTCTTGGAAATATTTCGTCGACGCCTCCTGACCAATCCGATCCTACTCAAAGCAAAGAGCTATAATCTTCCCACTGTATTGCAGGGTTCGAACTCCACCCTAGATTTCATAATTTTGATCCTTAAATTTCAATTTTTGAATTTAGTTGCAAAGTTCAAAGTGAAAGCGCTAAGCCAAACTGAAGATGTTTTTGAGTAAGATCTCAATAAGGAATAATGAATTCAACAATAATGTCTTAATGTTTTTAAATTATTCTTGAAATCATGTGGTTGTCCGTCTGTCCGCACGATTGATCTCGAACAGAAGGAGTTTGGGGTCCTCTTGGCCCGAGTAAGAATCTTTGCGGGTACTTGGTACATAGACTCCTCTTGGTCCAAGTGAGAACCATATAGAATGCGGGGCAAAGGTAACTAAAGTTACATATTAGATCTTCATGTCGTTTTTTAAAGATTTATCGGTCTGTAGATTTCCAAACAGAGGTAATAAAAAGTGCTGTATGCATCCGGTTGGCTCTAAGAACAATTCTTGCCCTAGCAACTTGCACGACTTCGAATGTTTTTGATCATCAATTAAAATCTACAACAAATATTGCGCTTCATTCAAACGTTCTGTATTATGGTTAGATTAAAAGGTTACACAGTTTATCAATCTTTCGATATTGGCTCTATATGTACAAACATAAAACGCCAAATGCCAGTTAAGTACAAATGAGTTCCAAAAAATTACTATTTTCGGGTATAGTACTCACAACGCTTGGCGTAATTTTGTTGGTATTCTGGACCAAAATCTGCACAACAGTTTTACATTCGGTAGGTAAGAGACGCAAATGAAAGATGTGCGCATCGCATTATTCCAGAAATTGGTCCTTTCAAATACGTCGTTAAGTTTCAAACTGTGGAAAGATCCCCCTATTCCAATACATCTCTCCATATACTTATTCGATTGGGAAAATGCCGAAACGGTCATCAAATCGGAATGGAAAGTTAAACCACGGTTTGAAGAGAAGGGCCCGTTTGTGTTCAGTGAGCATCACGTAAGGGAGATCAGCAGTTGGAATGGTAATGGGACTGTGAGTTATCAGCAGAGGCGCATTTGGAAGTTTGTGCAGTCGATGAGTAATGGAAGCTTGTTGGACAACATCACCAGCGTGAATCCAATTGTTGTCGTGAGTGTGCCACACTAAACAAAGGTATTTAAAGTAATTGTGTTAGATTTTAGGACAAAAGGTGAAGAATATCAGGTTTATCGGCCCGGTTATTAACAGTATTTTGTGGTACTTTGATGAAAAGCTTTACGTTACGAAGACCGTCAATGAATGGTTGTTTGAGGGGTACGAGGATCCAATCATTTCTGATCTTGTAGAGTATCACATACCAGGGGTGGAAATTCCATTTGATCGTATTGGATGGTTGTATTCGGTAATAGACTGTTTGTCTCTCTCAGGTAACGCTACTTATCAATTTTTAGCGCAACGACTCTGCCACGTACGAGGGGAATTTTACGGTGTATACTGGGATAAACGACATTAACAAGTTAGGGGAAATGAACTTGTGGAATGGTAGAGGAAAGACCGATGCTTACGATTACCCATGTTCGCTCCTTGATGGAAGCTCTGGAGAGCTTTATTCCCCTTTCAACCAAAAGCAGCATTTGTCTATTTTTTTAACCGACATCTGCAGGTATTACCGTGTTTAAATACAAAAACTGGCCTAAGAAAGTATCTAGACCTGCAGATGGTGATATATGAAACGAATTTATATTAGACCCCAAGGGGCGCAAAAAGTTTCCTCACTATTTTTAGGTCTACTACTAAATTTAAATGCAAAGGCAACCCCCAAAGGTGGATGTAGTCGACTTACAATTTTTCGCGATTACTTTACCTTTAGAGGATGGCCCTATGGAAGTCTACACCTACTTAACAAAAATTATTTTAGCACGCTCACATTAGAACGTAACGACACCGAAGAGGTTTTCGGGATTGAAGGCGCAAAATTCATAGGCACCGACTACAATTTTGATAATGGTTCAAAATATAACCGCCAAAAATGTTTTACCAGGAACAGTCTTCCAAGTGGCGTGAGAGATATTTCGAAATGCAAGTAAGTTGGCAATTTTTCAATCTCACTTCACTACTGATGAGCTTGCAGGTACGGTGCACCTGCATTTGTATCTTACCCCCATTTCTATCTAGCAGACCACAGCTATGGTGCGAACGTGGAAGGTTTAAAACCCGATAAAGCCAGGCACGAAACGCACATAACTTTGGAACCAAACACTGGTGTACCTTTAAATGCCAGTGCCAAACTTCAACTAAACCTTTTCGTGGACAACGTAAAGGGAATAAGGTTCGAACTTTCGTTACTGTTTTGAAAATAATTTAGTAGGTACCTACATTTTGCAGCGTATTTGACAACGTGGTTCCTACTTACATGCCAATTTTATGGTTTCAAGAGGATGCGTCCCTTACAGAAAAGTACTGCAACCTCATTGGGATCTTTCAAAAAGTATTATCTGGAGGATTTTACTTTGGATACGTCCTTTTCGGCGTTGGTCTATTTACTATGCTTTTTGCATGGTACTCCATGAACGGTTTAATCTGTAGAAGAAGATACACGGATTTATTAGCAGAAGAAGAAAATGAAAGTTAGGGGTTTTTAATTTTTTAGTATTAGAAATATGTTAGAAAGTAAGATTTGTTGTAAATAAAGTTGCCATGCTGGAGTATTGGAATATTCACTCCCCTCGAAAGTACGAATAAAAATTGCGTGTGTCCTATTTGTTAAAGTTAGGTATACAGTGTGTTCGAAATAAGAGGGTCACCTAAATATCTCTTTTATTTGGCGATACGAAACTTTTGTTTTTCAAATGCATTACCTATGTTTTTTAAGATATTTTTAAAGATCAATCAATCCAAACAAAAAAATGAAGAAATTCGTAATTTGATATTTAGAAAACTTATGAAATCTAGCATACAGAGTGCCATATCACACAGAAAAGACCTACATCAACCGAGGGGACCATTTCTCCCTCATATAGGAAATTTCGAAGAAATATCTGGGACATATATAGGAAATGGACGAAATTCTGGGGAAATTATATTAGGCAATGCTAGAAATCTTGGGGAAATTAAGGGAAATAGTGGCAGTTTAGGCAATGAGGGAAATTTTTGTCCCCTAAAATAAGTCGTGATCAACCCCTCGACATCAACTTGTTCAAAGAAAGAAAATTGTACATATTGAAAAATTACCGTATGCAATAATGAAGTCGACACATAGCAATCTAGATACGGGTATGTTTCAGTTTTAAATGTCATTATTAAGATTAATACAGCAATTGTTTTTTACTTTCCTCCCTAGGGAGGAAAATCACGGTTTATTCAACCTTTTTTTGGGACGAAAGTAAGTAGTGATTATGATTACTATGTAAATGTTATGACATGACTACAATATCGTACTAGTTCTATAATGAAGTACAATAAAACTATAGGATGTGGTAATTAATTTAGCCAACTTATTAATACTATGTTGCCAACTCTACATTTCATGGTATAGTAATTCAGTTACAGGAGACGTACCGAATGTTCGGTTTTGACTGAAAACCATATTTCGGCCCGATTTTAGCTCCAGCCAACCACTGGACTTAAGGCTGGACAGTACACCCGTTCCGTTGCCCGAAAACGTGTGATTTCGTTCCACGATATCTTAATTCTGAGTGAAGTTGAAGAAGGGGTCGAATAATCCTGTGAAAGGTGAATGCTTTAGCTAGACAATAACGCCGGGGTTTACTAAAATGTTTTAAAATAATCTTTTTTTTAAGGGCAACGTCGAGGGCTGTTAGGGTGTCATATTTTGGAAAAGAAAAAAGGAAATAAATTTTCCTGGCGTTATTGCCTAGATATTAAGTTTACGAACGTATCTTAATTTTGGAAATTGTTCCAACTTCATTTATAGATAAGTTATCTTGGAAAAACAACTTAAAAGTTTTTCTAAAAAGCGCGAAAAGATAGCTTCCGCCGCGTGGCTGGTTTTATACAGATAGAAAATGTGCATTATAATTGTACTAAGTTTATGTTTTTACCATCGAACACAAATTAATATTATAAATAACCAAATTTGGGGATTGACAATAGGCAACTTTACATACTCCGTTCTGTATGTACTGTCCAGCCTTAATAGCGGACTTCAGGTGGTTAGGCAACACAACAAGCGCATTCTATTAGGCTACACGCCGCACGTCTGCGGTTAAGATGTTGTATAACCCACGGACATCTAAACTTCGTTAGGTCACTCCGCAGCTACACGCACTCAATTTTGGGGCATGTGATGTGCCTACAAGTTTGTTCAAGGTGGCCGATTGTTTTATAGTTTTTTATTGAATGTGTCCCAATTAATGAAGTTAGCCCACAACCAATCCGCGTCTTCCTTCAGACAACTACTTCCGCCCACTTCACATCGCGCATATCGCATATGGCGTATTTGTGAAACGTGTGTACCTTTAATTTTTGTTTCAATAATTTTCTCCGCCACTGCTTAATTGTTTAATATCAGGCTTTTAACGTATACGTTTTTCTACCGATACATTTTTGCCGTGGACGTGCGTGTCCATCTAAAAAGCAGGCGGCCCGTTCCATTTAATTAAATAAGGCGATTAGGTAGGTCCACGTATTGCTCTGTATATTATATACACAGGACGATCTAAAAATAAAACTTCGCATATTTTAATTTATGGTTTTTTTTTAAATTGCAGATCGCTTCCACCATATTTCTTCATATATTTTTCCTTCTGGGTAGTTGCACTGCATTTTCTGGACTATTTACTGAGTCAAGGATCCGTCCAAAAGGGCGCAACCAATTTATATGACTTTAGAAACTTATAAAGGTAAGTGAAAATTTACTTTTTTTTTTCCTTACTGCCAGAGTGATGCAATCCATGTAATGATAATCCCAAAGTTGCATTTCCATTGAAACATGACCTGATTAAATACAATATGCTCAAGATTAGGATGAGTGTGAAGGGCATTGGATCTGACCATGGAATCGGGAAGCTTTACAAAAGTACTAAACTGGATCGAACATAAATTCATCACTGATTTCTGTGAAGTTGCATTTGACCCGACCTGTATATATCAGGTTGTTTATATATAGGGAGATATTTTTTGAATCACAGCCATAGAAGCGTTTTATGGGTGTCTATTGTATTGTAATTGGTTCATTTGGCTTACCTAACAGCCTGCCATCTTGGTTGCCATGCAATTAAAAAAAACAGCTCAATTTTTAGAACTTATGGATGTGGTATTTTAAGAAGAGATAAGTGGCTATTATTTATAGTATAACCATTGCACTATTGATCCACATGTCCAAATCAATTGCTGACAATGCAGAAAATTCTTTGTCAGTCATTTAGGTAATTGAGGCGTTTGAAAAAGAGCCTTCTATTACTTCAGGTAACAAAAGATAGACGGGATGAAAATGACTATGATATTTTGCGTATTTTCTGATTTGTACAGTCATGTTGAATAATTTTTTTTAACATAATTTCTGGGGAATGTACATATTGTGATTATTTTCTTCTATGCTGGTTTTTTTCCATGGGCTTGTCGGGTCAGAAAGAAAAGCAAAAGATGCTTTGGATTTTTCCGAGGAAGATTCAGTTGCAACTTCAATTTGTTTAATTTTGTTTTACTCAAGTATTATTGTAATATTCAAATATGTTCTATAATAAATATTTTAATCGTCTTTTGTCATTATCTTTAAGTATGAGGGTACTTTTTCCATGTTCAGGTGGTGCTTCGGAACTACGCACTACGCTGCTGATTCGCCATTTTTTAGCAAACAAATTTTGAAGCATTTTTTCAATATCATGGGTCTGCATAATCTGCCCTTTGAAAATATTCTACAGAGCTGTTCAAAAAGTGTGCTACTGTGCACAAATTTACAGGAAAATTTCTTCACCTATATGAAGTTAGCAATAAGTACCGATATTGCAATACATATGCATATTATTCGAGTACAGTTTCTGAGATTTGAACCAAAGTTGGTGTTTTTTAAATGCGACACCCTGTATATCTCGACGGCAATTTTTTGCATTCTTTTTCCTGAATACATCTATGTATCACAACCTATATTTTTAATAATATAATAATCACATAATATCAGGACCGTAGACAGGGGGGTGCCAGAGGGTGCCTGGCAGCCTGGCACCCTATAGACATTAAGTGGCACCCTCTGACCGATCACGATCAGAATCGTAAAATAAAAATATACAGTAGTGCTATTTTTGTACATTGTAAGTTAATTATCACAAATATACAATATTATTGTTGTTCATAATTATTACAATAAAATTGAATAAAAATGATTATTCTTGATAATTATAATATCAACATACTACATTTTGTAGTATCAGTACAATAATAGTTATTAAAATTATGCAATTTGAGGCTCTCGAGACTTCATTTTTTAAACAATAAGTGCACCCTCCAACATTTCGTTTGCACCCCTACAATTTTCGTTCTTGCTACGGCTCTGCATAATATACTTAATTATAATTTTTTATTATACCTGAATTACAATCTCCGTTTTAAACACTCAAATGCGTGCGAAAAAAGGCCTTTAAAACACACGTGCTTTAAAGTTGCTAAGTAACGATACTTCAAGTATGACTTTTGAAACTGTCATCTGGATGAAATAAAAAATCCTCTTAGGTCGCTTTCTGTAAAGAACATTTCTTTGGCTTTTGTACCTATCCTTTGGTTGAAGCTTTCACAAACGCGCGTAATTTAGGGTATGCTTCCAAATCTGTTCCACTTTTTAATCGCAACATTGCTTGGAAGTTTTGAATGAATGCACCAAAATATAGAAGATTTAAATACCTTTAACATTTCCTTCATGTATGCCAGCATTATCGATTCATTTAAGACTGTATTCGTAAGTAACTTCCTATTCATCCATGGAAACAACTTTTCATATTCTTTATAATAGGCTTTACTGGAGTTGGTTTTTACACCTACCAACGTTTGTGTAGATTTTACAAGCGATTTAATGAACGGTGTATTATCTTTTTCAATGGAAATCGTTTAATTCACAAAGACGATGATTTTTATAAGCAAACGTCAGGTGACATTTCCATGGCAATCGTGAAATTACGAACACCCAGCCCACATAATTAGACATGTATTCGAGTATAACGTCAATATGACTTCATTGTATTTCCTATTTTTAAATTATACTGCAGGTATAATAAAAAATACTATAAGATACACGTGTATAATTGGTCTTTAGAGCACTTGCAACGTTAAAGGCACTCCGCTTTGCGTCGTGCCCTTAAACTCGTTGCGCGTGCTTTAAAGACTTGATTATACACTTGTATCTTAATATACTATAAAATAATCATGTTTTTCAAACTTTTTAAATAACCTTCAGCGATTTTTGTTGATTAATTTTTGTTACCATGGATACAATAAACAAAACAAAAGCTTCATGAATCCATGGCATACTATTTAAAAACCGTAAACAGTATTTTTGGTTCATGGCTAAAATTAAAAAAAGATATAGGTTGTGATACATTAATGCAATGGGGAAAAAGAAAGAATGCAAAAAATTTACGCTAAAATATACAGGGTGGTACCTTTTTTCCTCGCTTTTATCTATCTTATATGGGTAGTAAGATATGTCTCAAAACTTTTCGTTTTCACTCAGAAAAATTGATTCTGTTTGTGGTACTAAAAGTTACACAAAAATTTCGGGTATAGATATTTGTAAAGTATAGTGGGTTGGGTTGGTAGAGCAGCTTTGCCTGAAACCCTGCCCACTTAAAAATAATTGACCAACAATAAATACATTATTGGATTACAGGCCATGGCCCCGTGGCAATTTCGTTGTGGCCGTTTCGTCTGCGTATAATATGGGCGCATATAAGTATAGAAAATTAGAGAGAGAATCGCGAAAATTACAGCTTAACTTCGATTGCAATAGTGTGCGACGTTCGTTCAGTTTTACGATCGATCGACTAAAAGTCCTTACAAAAATAGGTCCGTAAACGCTTCGTTACCGATCTACACCCTGTAGATTCTCACTATTATTGACATGACCCTTCAGCGTAACTTTCAAATTCGAGCAAAATACTTATCGTAAAAACAGCAGGAGAAAAACTTAAAAAATTTTGAAATTTGAACACTCCCTAGATCGGTAACTGATGACATCTATGTTTATATGAACTTTTAGTCATAAAATAAGTCAAAGGATTAGCTCCTTCCGTATTTACATCATAATTAGGAACATCCTGTATAGGTACCATCACATGGTACTTGTAGAAAGTTTGAGGACACTGTTGCAGAAACATTAAAAATTCTGGTATGGGGGCTCTTCATTTTCTAATTACCACCGCGTTTATAGTCGTACATTGGCGGTTCAAGAGGGGGAGGGGGTACCGCCTCCTCCGAGAGACAGAAAAAAGACACGGGACGGCACAAGCACGCCACCGCGCTTATGTACATTCACAAAAAGATGGATGGAGGAACCTTATATATATTTCTGGGAGAGTACCCCCCCCCCCCTCAAGTAACTCAAAGGTACTTAAATTATTGAATCGTCCGATGGTCGGGTACACACTTTCCTCAACTAAAAGTAGATAACCTATCGGCGAACTTATCGACAGAACGGATAATAGTTGCAATCTGCCATACTAGATGGCACTTCTACATATCGTCTTGTAAAGTCACTAGATATAGAAAGTACCGCAATCATCCGCCATTTTTGGGCAAATTTTCTGCCAACTTAAAAAATTTGACAAATAAAATCTGAATAGCTGTAATTTTTTATAACCTAACTTCATAGTACTGTCATGTTTTATAAAAATATATACAGATATCTCCAAACAGGTGGAACAATCCCTAACATTACAGTTACTAGAATCTGGTAACTTCCGCCATTTTTGGGCAAAAATCATGCGTTCTCTCTCTAACACACGAGCCCAATGGATTGCGGTACTTTCTATATTTAGTGACTTTATCGTCTTGCACTTCTGCAAAGTAATGTCACTGTCATTGATGCTACCCCAGGTCTCCTAAGCACTGTATTGCAGAACTAATTAACTAACCCACACCCATATTTTGAAGGGAGTCAAAAATAGGGCACCAATCTTCCAGGGCGAATATTTTGGCGACTTAATCTTGCAAGGGGTGAATTTTGCTTAGAACGAGTTGATGAGCAAAATGTGTGGGGGCGAATTTTCCTACAATCATTCGAGTTGAATGTGGGTGGTTCATTTTGACGTTGGACCCTTTCTGGAAAAAGCAATTGCGAGACGGCGGCACCGGGTAAAACCACAAAGGTGTGGATCAGACATCACGTAACGAATAAATAGGTAAAGAGTGTCGCGCAATAGCAAAATATGTGTCTGTGGCCCACTCTTGAGAAGAGCAATTTCGAGTTCAATGTGTAAGTGGGTGGAATTTTACGCAAAATCGATACGCGCACGATTGCGCGTGTCAAGAAGAATTGATTGAAAATTCTAATGTCTGGTGCTGTTGTCTACGCGCTCCTCTCGACAGTCCTGGTGCAGTGACGATCGCCATCATAGACCTCTTTGCCGCAGCTGATTTGGGGCGCCTGGTCGCCTCCATGCTGCCGCCCGAACACTATGGTGAGAAATTGCAAGCAATTCGATTGACTGCGCTAGCGTAATTGAAGTTTTTCTCGATTTTTGTACGTAAAAATGAAATTCGCGCGTATGCTTTTCGGCGTGAGCTAAGATGGTGGTCTCTAGGTTCAAGGGTGGATCGCAACTTTTGTATTGATTCACTTTACTTTTCAAATTTTACTCTTTTTACATGACTACGTATAGAGCTACATACTTGATTTTTTATAGATTTGCATTCTGCACTGAGGAGTCCCAAGTGGCGCATTACCATTTTTTGGTACCAAAGCACCTGAAATCCAAATTAAGAAACTTACTGCCAAAACTCTACATACATCATTTTTTGTACTTTTCTTTTTCATCAAGCGGAGAAGTTCGTTTAGATAAAATAGCGCAGCCTCTTGGAGTTTATCAAGCTAGGAGGGTGGTGTTTCAATGATCTTAAGCGATAGGACCATCAAGTTCTTACTCTTTTGTATTTTGGTTTGTCCGTGTAATAAAGATAATACCAATGAAGTTTGTCCATGTTCCACTTGAAATTTTTGATGTCAAAGTGACATTGCAGGTTTCCATTGAAACGTTTTTAAATGACAGATCAAAATTTCAATGTAGTCTGTGTTGAGAGCTCGATTTGCTATCGAGTCAATGAGTATACAAGGCAGAGGAATAATGCAAATAATTAATTTTCGTTAATTTTGGCGATGGTTTTATATATTGTAATGAAAAGGATTACAACTTTGGTAAGTGTTACGAATTGCACTCATTACAGCAGGCATTGATTTCATTGTTTCTCACCCGAAAGTCATGCTAAAACTGATAGATAATAGTTCAACCGTCGACTTTTTCAGAGACATCATTAACCAGCAGAGGTATAGTCGGGAGTTTAGGGCCCTGGCACGTGGGGTGCATGACTTCGCAGCGACAGGAGCCCAATTGTTATAGGTTAGTAAGTTGGATAAAGACAAAATCTCCACCTTACCAAATGGTGTCTGCAGGACAACAAAATTTTCATCTAATAGGCATCGGAAACTGCAACCTTTTAGAGAAACGTGACTGAGAGCAATCATAGGACACCCAACCATCATCACTGTAACTTTGCCCGCCGCACTAAGCATCGTCATACACAATGGGCTCCGTCAACGTCAACCGCAACGTTAGCGATCTCTTCTATCGATACAAAATGCCCCCCTTGGTGGCTAAGGTTTGTGCCCGTCTCCTCCCACGCCACCCCAATCCTAACCGCTCACGCCCCCCTTAGGTTGAAGGTAAAGGCAATGGCATTAAGACCGTGATCGTAAACATGAGCGAAGTAGCGAAGGCCCTGAGCAGACCGCCAACCTACCCCACCAAATACTTCGGCTGTGAACTTGGCGCTCAAACCCAATTCGACTTCAAGAACGAACGCTTCATCGTAAACGGCTCACACGACGCAGTCAAACTGCAAGACCTACTGGACGGCTTCATTCGCAAGTAACCCCGCGTTCCCCAAACTCGTTCGATCCGGTTACTAACCGCCCGCTTTCCAGATTCGTTCTCTGTCCCGAATGCGACAATCCCGAGACCGATCTGATCGTTTCGGCGAAACGAGGCACCATATCGCAGGGATGCAAGGCGTGCGGATTTCACGGTCCGCTCGAGTTCAATCACAAGCTCAACACGTACATCTTGAAGAACCCGCCCAATATGAATCCGGCGGTGCAGGGGTCGTCGCTGACCGAGGGAAAGAAACGGACCAAGCGCAGCAAGAAGGCCAACGGCGATAACGCCAACGGGGATGGTCAGGATCAGGACGGCGAACCTATCGGGCTCGACGCCTCCGTTGATGTTACATCAAATGATAATGTAAGTGTGTACAAGCTTAAGGTGTCATGGCCACGAACTTATAAATTAAGATGGACTGCTAATGCTGAATTGACAAATGACACCTACATGGGGGCAGCCATGATGTGCCCTCACTTGGCGCGAAATTCAAATCAACTAATAAACAAGCTTTAACCTCACGTTTCCTTAAGAAATTATTGTGACGCATGTGATTTTCCAAGGCTGCAATAGTCTCAACACTTGAGCACTAGGAAAATTCCCCTAGAAAATAACTAAAATTTGCACATCATGGCCGCGCCCATGGTAGGGCCATTACCTTTATGCAACTGTTTGATCAGCAGTCCATCTTAATTTATAAGTTCGTAGTCATGGCTGAGTGGATTAAGTGTTTTAGTAACAAGGGCCATCTTGAGATATAGGCATCAAAATATTTTGAGGTTAAAAAATTTTTTTTGCCACATGGTCCCAAGCATAGTATTAATTGGACATGCGTCTTTTGCATTTAAAAAATGTAAGAAGACAATCCCAAACCTACACAAACCATGTATACACATTTTTATAAAATAATAAAAATAAAAAATATTTTCCCATACCAGGAATCGAGCCCGAGCATCCTGGATGCGAGTCGGGCCTTGCTACTAAACCATTATGGCATACATTACATTGTGAGTTCACATTTATTTCGCATGCGCAGTGTAGTTTTTGAGGTCAACCGCCATCTTGAATTTTTTGTAAAGACCTACGCCATTAGGGAGGTTATTTTTTTCTCTTTCTTACTACCTTGATCATGTATGGTAGAAATATAATGCAGAAAAATTAGAAAAAGCTTTGCCATATTTCACAAAATTAACATTTATTTCTCACATAATACAGTACTTGTAAGGTAAAAGGTAACAAACATGGCAAATGCGCTTTCGAGTCACCGAAAATTTAATTAATGCTTCCTTGGGTGATGATAAACATAATACTGAAACCAGAATTGGAAAATTCGAAACCGTTTGCGAGTTATCATGTACGCAGACGAACGGACGGATAGAAAGTCCAAAATCATGAACTCGCTTTTACCAGCGCGTTAATAAGGGGGCATATACCACCTGGGTAGGGTTGCCATCCGTCCGGATTTCCCCGGATTTGTCCTAGTTTAGGGGGCGTCCGGGGGCGGGTTTTCAATGGTAGTCCAGGTTTTGAGATACTGAGTGGGTGAATTAAAAAATTTTCTGTCAAAAGTTAAGCCAACAAGATACACTTTCAAGCGGAAATCAGCTTTGGTAATAATTTTTTAAAACACCGAATGCTCATTTATAGGTACTCGACGTTAATGAAAATTGCGTAGTACTACTTTTTTTGCATTTCTACTCTTAATGACAACCCTGAAAGAATATTTTCACTAGTGGCACAACAGTGGACAAAATAAAGGAATTTATTGAATATTGAAACAGTCTCGTCAGTGATAAAAATAAAGTACAATTTCAAAGATTATAATTGTGTAGATTTTTATAAATTTCTTTTAAATAAAGAAGATATTCTAAAGGCTATTGGAGAGACGGATAAATACCGAAGACCTGAAGAGTAAATAGTTCCCTAAACATTTTATTTTACTAAAAGACCAAATGTTTGTTTCATTTAAAAATTATTGCTATTAGCTTCTTATAACTTGTATTTTATTTTGTTAAAAAAGTATATTAGTGCTTCATTTAAAGAATTTAAAATGTAGATAAGCCGTTGCTGATTCCTAACAGTTAAAGAAGATTTTGTTTCGTAATAGAGTACACCTTGTTTTAATTGTTTGTTTTATATCTTTAGAAAATATTTTTTATCAAATTCAATTGATATGTCCGGGTTTATAATCCCTAAATCCGGGGTTTTCACGCTTCCTGTCCTAGTTGGTAGAGTTTTGAGATGGCAACCCTACACCTGGGGGGGTATGGAATACCTACCAGCCACAAAAGAGAATAGTTTTGGAGGACAACAGAGGAACAGAGAATTTGGGAGATACGGAATACCTTTCAGGTAAAGTAAGTTTGAAAGTGCTGCCTTAAAATGATCACAAGAATGCTTTGAAGGCAAGTCTAGTCTGGGGGGTATATGGAATATCCCTCAGGCACACATACATTTTCTTCATCCTGTAACGTATACCTATGTGTGGTTGAGGGGTATTCTAGGTAAAGAAAGTTTGATAGCCCTCCCTGAAGATGATCATCAGAGTACTGAAAGTTTAACACTTTGGTGGCAAATGTATGACCGGGGGTATGGAATACTACCCCCCAGCCGCACATACAATCTCTTTTTCCTATAATGGATACCTGTGTGTGGCTGGGGATTATTCCAAACCCCCAGACCCCCCCAGTGTTAGACTCTCCCTCAAATTGTTAAACTTTCACAACTCCTGTGATCATTTTTTAAGGAGGGCCATAGAATTATTATTTTTTACACGTTTTTTGGAGGACATCGGAACAGGGAATTTAGGAGATATGGAATACCTTACAGAAAGGTTCGATTGCACTCCCTGAAAATGACTGGGGGGTATTCTAGACCCCGAATCCCCCCCAGTGTTAGACTCCCTCAAATTGTTAAACTTTCACAACTCCTGTGATCATTTTTCAAGGAGGGTCATCAAATTTTTATTATTTTTTGCACGTTTTTCCACCCTCCTATCATAATCCAGAATGTAGGTATACCTTTGTGTGGCCGGAGGGGGGGGGGTATTCCAGACCCCCAGTTCAACATACAAATCCATAACTGTACAGTTTAATTAATTTAAGTGCTATTGAATTAGCAAACATTATAGATTTTTATTGTAAATAAATATAACAAAACAAATATAGCAAACGAGCTCCTGGGTAAATGAAAATTTAATCAGCTCTTCCTTGGGTGATGATAAACATAATGATACTAAAAACAGGATTGGAAAATTCAAAACCATTCGCGAGTTATCATGTACACAGATGGACGGACATGGGTTTATTTTTGATGTTCTGGTAATTTAAAGTGCAATACATTAGCTACCCAAACGTACGGCAAAGGTTTTTCTACACTATTGTCTAATTTAACACCATGCATGTTTAAGGTAGTAAGAAAGAGGAAAAAATAAGCTTTATGTTTATCTATGACCTATGTTGCCATTTAAAAAAATTCAAGATGGCGGTTGCACTCAAAAATCAAGTGTCAAACAAAATTTGTTAACCTCAAAATATTTGATGGATTGTACTTTGCATGTCTACCATGCGATCAAAAATGAGTTGCTGTCGAGTCACCTTTGGAACTTTTGTTTACATTGTACTTAACTTGAACTTCCAAAGGCGACTTGACAGCAACTCATTTTTGATCGCCCGTTATATCTCAAATGGTTTGAGCGTGAAAGCTGTGGTTCCATCTTTATCGGTGACCCTGCATATAAAACTCTTCTGTGACTGACAGGCAACGCCTATCTGAAAGTACTGGTCGTAGAAAGCTGAAATTTTGCATGTTCGTTCCTTAGGGATTGTAGGGGAGCACTAAGAGCAGATTCATCAAAATTCCTAGGGGAACAGGATTTTATGTTTTACCTTTTACAATCTCCGGAAGATAGAGATTTGACATTTAGAATGTAGATTTCTTTGAAGGCATACTCCGAAAGCACTTTCCGAAATTCCCAATGGGATTGGGATAAACGAATTAAGGCAGACGCACAACCCATGGCCACACACGCTCTGTGTTCTGTTGAAATCTGTGTTTCAGACACTGTGGCGCCAGATATGAGTCATATGGTATCGTACATTGTGTCATAATATGTGTTTGTTCATAATTGGGTATGATATTCTGACCATGGTTCTCTTCCCTGCAAATCTCAGTTAATTCCCCATGACCCCCAATCGATTCAAACATAATTGTATCGAAATTATGAGTTTTTGATATAGGTATAGTTGATATCAGGAGGAATTTATAATTCATTGCGCAATGCTACGTTTGTTTCTGAGATACAGGGTGAAAACGAAAAGTTTGACTTTTTGGAATGTATATCATATCTATATATCATTTAAGATAGAAAAAACGTAAAAACTGTGTACTTAGATATTTTTACGTAGAATCCAGTGGCATAGTAAAACAAAATTTTTGCACCACCATTTCCGAGATCTGACCCAAAGTTGGTATTTTTAAATGTGACACCCTGTATATGTTAACGTTAATTGTTTTGCATTCTTTTTCCTGATCTGCATTTTTTAATTTTAGCCATGAAAATCAATAAAACCTTATTTTTTTACTGTTTCTAAATAGTAGGCCATGGATTCATGGAGATTTTCTATTGTATCCATGGTAGCTAAGGCACCCAATATCAACCACGGTCGAAACATGTCATTTCGAAATTTATTTGATCTAAAGCATAGCCCCTTTAAGGAGCAACAAAATAGCTACCACCCCTAGCCGTCTAATTATAGTTGTAGTTACTTTTGATTGATTTTTCGGTACACTGATGGTAATATACTTCTTAGATTCTGTCAAGACAAAAGTCCCCCCATGTTATGCACGTTTGGGAATGAAAAAGAAATTTCTTGATTACCCCAATTTTGAGAGCGGCCGCCATCTTGAATTTTTTTAATGACTACATGGGTCATTAAAATTTCTAACAATGTATCTTTTAAGTTCTCCGAGCTGCAAATCAATATCTCAAATCTATCCAAAGCCTTGTTTCTTTGGTTAATAGCAAATAAAAAAAAATTTTCCACATTTTCCAATCAACAGGACAAAGGTTTCATTAGAATCACTAGAAAGAGAAAAAATGCCCTTTGGTCACATGACCCTTCATGTCAGTAAAAAAAATTCAAGATGGCGGAGCCCTCAAAATTGAAATAATGAGGAAACTTTTTTTTAAATTTCAAAACATTGAAGTCATCCAAGTGAGCTCAATATCTCGAACCGTATGGCTGCCTGGTGTTCATTTCCAGGAACTAAAATGTTGTAGGAACCGTAAATCTAAATCAAAAAGTGTATGCCACCTTGCCACTCCCTTAATTAATTAATCACATTATTTGATTCAGGGTGCAGGCGAAGATGACGACACCGAATGGGCGGTCGACGTCTCCGAAGAGGCCGTAAGGGCGCGCATGCAAGATCTAACGGACGGCGCGAAAAACATCACCATAAGCGATGACCTCGAACGACCTGAGAAAGAACGCGTCGACATACTGTACGAAATGGTCAAGGCGAAACGCGACGCGGGCGTCTTAGATTCGCCGCAGTCCCAAAAGGAGCTGGTGAACGAGGCCGAGCGTCTCGACATCAAGGTGAAGACGCCTCTCATTCTGGCCGAGCTTCTCTTCGATCAGAACATCCTGACGCAGGCCAAGAGACATCGCATGCTCATCTTACGTTTCACTTTGAACGATAAGAAGGCTCAAAAGTACTTGATCGGAGGTCTGGAGCAGGTGATAGCGATGCACAGCGACGTTCTCATGAACAAGGTGCCCGGTCTGCTGAAGGTCTTCTACGATCTCGACATTTTGGGCGAGAACGTTATAATGGAGTGGGCGGAGAAAGTTTCGAAGAAGTACGTGTCTAAAGATGTCTCTCAGGAAATTCACAACAAGGCGGCACCGTTTATAAAGTGGTTGAAGGAAGCCGAAGAGGAGGAATCGTCCGAAAGCGAGGAGGAGAGCGATGAAGATGTCGAAATTGAGTATAACGAACGGGCTCAAATAACACCATTAAAACCGGTTGCAAAACCGCCAGTTAAGAAGCCGCAAGTAGATGACGATGATGAAAATGATGTTGACATTGACGCCATCTAAATTCTATGGTGTCGAACTGTTGCAGAGCTTTTAACATCGGAATGTTGACTACTCTGCTACAAGTTGTCGTATTGATGTTTACTGTTTTTTAAATTACTATTTCTATCTACTATTATTCTGCAGTGTTGTTTTTTTTTGGGGATATTTTAAATAGGTTTTTGGGTGATTTATCGTTTTAATATGCAAAAGGGATGTAAACTTTCGAAGACTGATCATTTTTGTAACTCTGAACCTTGGTTTTTGTGTTTGATAAACATCTTTTATTTGTTAGTTGCAATAGAATCGTTCATTTTATAGCCTCCCCCCAAAACTCTTTTAGATTTTTAGCTTTTCATTATAATATATAAAAAACTAGAAAATGTTAAAAAGAAAAATTCTTGTGATAAGTTGGAGTTGATTATATTATTGAATGTAGTCATTGGTCAAATAAAACCTTTTCACAATATTTTAATGCCCCTAGACCCATACCCTTGCTTCAGAGTAGGAGAGCAAGGGCAGAATTGAAACAACCCCTAAATGACGCTTCATTTTGAAATCTGCAGTCGTATTTTTCGGAAGCCAGCTGCAGAAAGCTTCAATTTGAAACAAAAGATGGCACACATCCACCTGTAAGTTCTCATAAAATAGATACATAGATGCAATCTGCAAAAACCACTTAAATATCCAACCCTTGCCTAAGTATTCACACAGTATTAACAGTAATACTGAAAAGTGGGTAAAAATACGTTGCTTATAGATAACAAAGTCCTTTAGTTTTTTGTATACTTAGTAGCAATTTCCGTAAAAAAAAAGAGATTAGCAAAAAAGGTCGCACTTTTGAGCAAAACTATGCATTTGGCATATCTTATTGTTCCGACATGGCGCCACTGTTATCTTTCCCTAGAACCTCCATTAGGGGTGCAGACTAAGCTTCATTGTCGTGAAAACGATTAGAATATTTAGGGTGAACTACCGAGTACATGTAAGCCTATATGAGTAGGGGGTTGCCTACATATTCAGGGTCTTGGCCGCGATTTTTACATTTGATTGATTTTGAATTTTCTAAATATTGAATTAGGAATTTCTGGATCAGATCGATCGTAATGTCACATATAAAATTATATTTAACCCTCTTTATCTCGAACGCACTGTATACTATGCTATCAAAAATGAGTTGCTGTCGAGTCACCTTTGGAATTTTTATTTACATTGTACTTATACCAAAGAGTGCCTATTATACTGTATTCATTTTACGAAGGTAGCGGTAGAAAGCATAGGGATGCTTTGAAGTTCACTGTGATTGGTTAATACACGAGTCAGTATTACAATGAAACATAAAACTAATGATGAATATTGTAAGGTGGTAGTTTATGTTGCCAACTAAACTGCCGAAGTGTCATTAGTTATTGTCAAAGATTTATTTCTGTTGGCAGTGCTGAATATTTCTATTTTACAATAATTTGGTGCCGTTTTTTTTCCTGTGTGTGTTTTATCTTCAAACACAGCGCCATCTACTACCTTCTTATAATGAATGCAGTATAACTTGAACGGTCAAAGCAGACTCAATCGCCACTCATTTTTGATCGCCCGTTATTATTTCCCTTGCAAATTGATTTTCTAAATCTTTACCAGATTTCCCATCCAGATCAAGGGTCTAATCGTAAACAAACTGGACTGAGGAAGCTTGAAAGTTCTGCGTGATAACGCTACGGATTCCAAGGAGAACGATAGGGAGACAGGACGCATTGCTTTGAGTTGGCAGTTAAATCGTTCAACTAATGGCTGCTCGGTGATAACTGCAGGTGCGGAATCATTCTGTGCAGAAAACAATATTGGGGCCACAAAACACACATTAAAAGAGCATCCCTGATCGGTGGTGATGCTAGTACGGAAACCAACAGTTTCAGTAGGCGGTGAGGGTGAGATGTATATGGCTGTTTTACACAAATCGTTACCTAAGAGTTTTCCAGCTCTCATTGATATGTTAAAATATGAAAATTTGCATACTGACATAGTTTTTCATGATCTATCGAAAGAAAATATCATGAGCGCTTCACTTCCAGTTTTACTGGATGTGGATAGCAACTTTGTTTATTTTAAATAGAACACCCTGTATTTTGTTGCATTTTCGAAATCTACATGACAGCCTATGTCGTTTGATACCACATTTCCCAGTATCAAAGGTTTGAAATTATTCAAGATTTATTTTGAGCCCTGTATCTGTGCATTGACATGAATTTCAAAAATCTTCCAAAATCACCAATACTGACTTGATGCTACATCCGAATGATTTAAATTTTGATCAGCCTTCTACAGGGTGCTTTAAGGTCAAATGTAATAACTCAAACCGCAAAAGTTGATTTTTTAATATGAAACCTGCTTTACTTTTTTACACTTTTAAATGTCGATCAATTATTACATTTCCTATACCTATCTGTTGTGCTTTCGGTTTTATTTTAGATTTTCTAAAATTGTAACCGTTATGCTTTGTACAGGGTGTACCCTCGAATACCCCCCCTAAGATATAAAAAAAGTGTATTACACTAGTGTATCAAATGTTTTTAAAAATGCACACCCCATATATTATTGAAAAATTGGAAAGTATATAAAGAATTCTTATATTTTATGGAACATATTATACCCTTAACGATTTCGCTGTTATAACCTTTTTCTCCTTAAAATTAGACCGTTTTTCAATTTTATTTTCCAGAGAAACTTAAAATCGTGCGCCTCTTCTCTTTCACAAAATTTCGTCTTTTATCGAAAAAAAGAAATGTTTGATTGACCGCCGCCAAAATGTCATTTTTTTTTAAATTTCAAATGGCATCACCTCTGGGTAGCCGAAACTATAAAATTTCCACTGATACCAAAACAAACCAAGGAGTCCAGATTGCGGTTATGCCTCCAACAAAATGGTCGTCATTTCGAACATTATTATTTCAAGTTGCTAGATTTGCTAATCCCCTTGTTCGTGTTAGGGTTGACGCACATGAATTCGCGAATTAATTCATCGGAATGTTTTTTTATTTTTGATTATTAATGGCGATAGATAGATTTTCCATCCTCCTGAAAATGAGGTAGATTTTTCGAAAATCGCGAATATGGAGAAACGGATCAACTTTGCGGGCCCAAAAAATTGCCCCCTTTTTTGTCATAAGAAAGCTCCAAATTTCAGACCCATGCAACTTTTTTTTTATAAAAATAAAAATAGAAAACAAAAAAACGATTCCCGGTTTTTCTAGACAGGTTTTGTGAAAAAAATGTAGATAGAAAAGTTATGCATTTTTTTATACCCTACAACTTTTACTTCGAACATTTTCGCCTAAAATTAATAGTTGCAACTCCCGGGATTTCGCGCGCGGAAACTTCGGCTGTTTTAATTCCCCGATTTCGAATCCCTTACTTACATACAAATACAAAAACCATTCAAAAACGTAAGTTTGATGCGCCAGTAAAACACCGGATAATTTTAGCCATACCCTCATTCTTAGACTCCCCAAGCCCCCCAAAGCACTCCTGTCATCATTTTCAGAGAGGGCTGTTGAGGAGGAAGAAAAATCTTGGCATATATTTACTGTGCCACAGCTTACTTCAGAAAAATGAAGATATGCTGCTCCCATGATTCTCGACTTCTTCAAAGATATTGACCTCCTAACTTTTGATATAAAGTTGCGGCTCTCCGTATTTATCTAAAGAAATTAGTTCATTTGTTCGAAATTCGCCTTTTTAATTAATCTTATTTGTTTACCAAATCAAAAGTACACTTGCAGCAAATAATAATCTAATTTGTGACACCTGTTTACCTTTACTTTCTGGTATTCTTTTGTTTTGTTATTATAGCAGCCTACTCCAATGTATAAACACGTAATTAATTAATGAGTAGGTACTCCGATACCGTACTTTTGTGAAAAATATTAAATAACATAAAAACTGCGGGGTTTAAGCACAGAGCACCCCTTATAAACATTGAAGAGAACACAAAAGACAATCGAATAGCGAAATAAAATAGTAGTAGTTCCATTTGAAAAAGAATAGTTATAGCAGTTTGAACAAATGGCACTGAAACAAGTAAAAATATGCAGGATGTTCTATTTAAAAAGTCAGTTATTTATTGACATCGTAAAAATGGGACACCCTGTACATGCAAAAATAATTTCTGTAGATCCGCAACCACCAATATTTTTTACCAGGTATCAGTTATGTAGGAAAAACCGACGCATTGTTGCAGGACCCTGTATATAGCCAAATACTATAATATTAAATTAAATTTTTTTTGTGGCTCTTTCAAAACTGGGAAATTTTATAAGTTGTAATTTTTGGCTCTTCTGTTTCAATAGGTTGCCAACCCCTGTCCTAAGGGAATGCGAGTAGACTCCGAGCCCTTATAAGAGACCAACTCCCTGAATAATAGATCAAGGATTGTAAGTCTAAAAGCTGTTAAAATTTATCATACTCAAAAATATTTCATATTTGTTAGTGCCCCTTTTCAGTCAATGTTATTTTATATATTTTCTACTTCATGTGTCTAACCTTAGCAAAGCACAAATACTTAATTATAATAATCTGCTACATCACAATAGCTTCTTAATCCATTCAAATAATTCTTCCAATTCTCGTTTCTTTAATTCGTGTATTGTATTAGGCAAACTAACAAAGTCGCCGCCAACACCTAAACTTTCCAACGTATCATATGTAGCCCTTCCCCACTTTATTGGGACAAGGCTATCACGTTCACCATGATACATTAACAAAGGAGTATCTGCAGTAGAGTGAGTCTTAAGATTGTAAAACACTTGCGAATCCCTATTTAAAAATGATGAAAGCGCAAAAACACCTCGTAGGCCAAGTCTCAATCTATAACCTACATGTAAAGCTAATCCTCCGCCCATCGAAAATCCCCCGACTATTATCTTATTTAAAGGTATTCCACTAGAAACCTCCTCTTCAATCAAGTTGTTAATTACCGAACCTATTTCGTCTATTGACTCCACACTTTCCTCCGCTTCGATACTGATCGATTTTCGATCAAACCAAACGTGACGCATCTATAAACAATATTACAACGCATAATTGAAAGAATGGCACGTTACCTCGCCGCCGGCAGCAGTGTAACTTTGAAGTGGTGCAGTTGGGAATAAAAACTTTATATTGGGGAACGAAAATGAACCTACAAGAGATTCGATCCATTCGCATACTCCTGGACCGGTGTCGCCTGTGATAAGACAATTAGATAAAATCAACGGTAAGGATAATCGCAGGTACCTGAGCCGTGTAAAAATATTACTGTGGCCGTATTCTTTGCGTTAGTTTGTGCTATAGTCTTTAAAACTCCTAAAGATAGAGACATGTTTGGACTTGGTGTTTGAAAGATACCATAACCTAACTTCTGAAAACGTCGACGTGCATAGAACCACAGTCTATATACAGGGTGCTATTTTGGGAGCTTTAGTGAAAGGTTTTTGGGAAAGTGAAAATATGCAGGTTTTTGAAAATTTGTGCTTAGGAGTTACTCTGAATGGCGAATGGATGTAAAATATTTTCAAAATGGTCGCACTTTTGGAAATACCGGAAGTAGTTAGTAACTTCGTTATTTTAAATGGCAACCTCTATTTTTTATTGCATTTTTGAATTGCGAAGTTCTTTTGATATACATATATAATATAGTTATTGTTTATGACAGATAAAATAGATTTTCCTTGTACATAAAATGGGTAGTTTTTCAAGGATTTAACAGTGTTAGCATTGTATTTTATTTTTTTTGTATCTGTTCAAATAACATCCGAAAAAAAATTAAAACCAAATCGGCAAATTTAATAAAAAAATAAAGCACGATAATTACTCTTTAATTGCCCAACTTTTCCCTAATTTGACCATCGTCGTATATGGTTTCCGAGATCCCCATAATAGACATCCTTATATCACAATGTACCTATAAGAAATATTTCTGAACCATATTTGTGCCATGTAGGGAACTAACCCACCGGTTCCCTCCTAGGTCACGATCCTTACCATGCACCCGAGGAACAAATCAACCTAGGCGATTAACAATTGTGTGGCAACAGAGAGGCAAAGTGCCCTGCTTCAATGGTGAAGGTTGTGATAATGTGAACTAGAAGAAGCAGAATCTAACCCATATATTGATTAGCGATATGACCAGATCAATGTTAATCTACTGTGGACAATGTGACTAAGGTGGTGTGCTACACCAACTCAAAGTACCTCACCTATACTGCTTTGAAACTTTTAGGTATAAATAAATGAGAATAGATTTAAACAAAAGAACAGAGACAGCCCTCTTAAAATAGATTGGCATTCTAAGTGCACCTGATGCAATTAAAATACGCCTATTAGGTATCTTGGCACAGACTCTGAATACCATTGTAGTTGCTTCAAGTCTCAAATTCAGTTCAAATGTACTATAAATGTATTCATAAATTTTCCTTAATCTCTAGTGATTTTTAGATGTTAAGACCAACCAGTCTACTTTTACAACAGATTCGAAAAACTGCAATCTCTGGACCGCCCAGTAATAAAATTACTACCGCCGAAATAATAATGCATGGAGGCTGTATTGCGGTCGGAATATTGACTATACCTGCATGGGTGATAACTCACATCTACCACTACAGAAGATTGAGATGAACGTAGAAAATTGAAATAGACGTAGTGTACAATAAATTAAATTTAATAAATAGAAAATCACAGACGAATAAATACAAAAATGCATCTACCAATTAAATTCAGATTTAATCGCGCAGTCAATGAAATATCCCCCTTCGTTCGAAATGTTTTTCTCAACGTACTCTTCCTTAACAATGACTTCTTGGGGTGAGTTAACTTTCTTCTTACTTTCGTGAAGTCTTAAATGTTTGCGATGCAGACTAGGTTGCGATGTGCGATAATCACAATACGTACATTTGAACGGTTTATCGTCACTGTGCGTTCGCAAATGACTGACTAGACTAGATTTTTGTACACCGGCATAATCACACTTGGAACATTTGAAGGGCTTTTCGCCGGTGTGTATTAGGACGTGTCGTTGCAGGTCACCTTTTCGGGTAGCGCTGAAATTGCAATGGTAGCATTTAAACGGCTTTTCTCCCGTGTGGGTCATTATGTGAAGGTCCAACAGTACCTTGCGGTTGGCACGGTAGTTGCAGTGGGCGCATTGATATGGTTTTTCTTTTGTGTGGGTTCGCATGTGGCTTTTGAGGCTGTCCAGGCGTAAGAAGCTGAATTTGCACAGTTCACATTTGTAATCTTTTTGACTGGTGTGCTTACGTTCGTGTATCTTTAACGTGTACCTTCTGAGTGCGCCGTAATCGCATTGGGTGCATTTAAAGGGTTTAATTCCGAGATGAGTAATCAGGTGTTTGCGTAACTGAGCGCCACTCATTGCACTATACTCGCACCGGTCACATTTGTGTTGTCTTTCGTTCACATGAATCTTTTTGTGAGCATGTAAAATCTTGCGATCACTGGTGCTAAAAGAGCACAGGTCACAATTGTGCACCGAAGAGTGAATTCGCATATGTTTTGTTACAGCGCTACGTAATGCTGCACTGTAGTCACACTGCGAGCACGAGTATGGCTTTTCACCTGTGTGAGTACGCATATGATAGACTAAACAACTTTTATGTGCGCCTTTATAGTTACAAAGAGAGCATTTAAAGGGCTTCTTCTCGGTTTCATTTGAAGAGACATTATCGGGATAATTCACTCTGTGCCCCTCACCAGAATCATCTAATATTATGATCTCTTGACACGATTGTGCATTTAAGCCCCCTAAAAGAACATTTTCATTCAAGTTTTCTACCATTTCTTCTCTTCTGTTTGAAATTTCTTTATTAAATGTTTGAGGTTATGAGTGAAGCTGGACGATCGATTGAATGCTACCACAACAAAAACTGTCACCTAAAGGTGCGTTCATACGAACTGATTTTTCAGAAAGAATCTTATAATCAATAATTCACAAATTTAATTCGCTAATTAAATTAATCTTTTTTTAGATAAAATTCTGCTTGCACCCGGTATATTATTGCATTTTCGAATTTTGCATCATTTTCTTGTGACCTTTCAAAATTTAAAAATATGATTATTAAGTGTGCCATGACGCTTCCGATGACTCGTGTAATGCTATATAAAAATCGAATTCCTACCAAGAATACTAAACCACCTGACTAATAAGCAACTAAATGTCCTCAAAGGAAACGTGTCATAGTACTGTCAGTCTGTCACACCCGGTACTCTCACTTCTACAGGGTGGAAATTTTGTCTCGAACGCTGAATACAGGTATCCTCAAAACTACATGGCCAAGAGGGGCATGTTTTTTTTTTAATGGCAACTACTAATTTTCAATACATAGGATTGCACTTTAAGAATATGTAATAAAAAATAGTGGATGCTATTTAAAAATATATTAAAAAAGCTTCTTAAAAACGTTTCTTTGAAGGTATATTCAGTAGTGTTGCCAGACAACAGTTCCAATCTGTAGAGTGTAGAATAATAAGGTTATTTAAAAGGAAGTTCCCAGTTTTAAATGGTCGTTGTTTTGTTAAATTTTTTAGATTCCGAAAAAAGAAAAACGCTATTATGCTCGTACAGAACGGGCGTTTTATTATACAATAACAAAAACACACAAGGGCCAGCGTGTCTATTTCCACAAGAAAAATATTGACATTTTGAGCTAGGGTTCTGGATTTACATGTATAGGAAAATAATTAAATGTCCACCCTTTCAGGACGTTTGGAAGACATTTGCTTGATTTTTAAAGTTTTCATGAAGGTACTTCAATGAAAGGTGTCTTCGAAAGGAATTAATTTTTGGCAACCACCACCCATTGAGATCTGAACAGGAGGATACTCACAAAGGGCGATTAGAACATCTGGAGTATACATTATGTTTCAAATTAATTTAGTTGTAGAGTTGGAAGGACGGCTATCTTATCAAAAGTGTGTATTTTTTTCTACTGAATCCAAATCTGTAGTCATCGCATAACGCATTGTTTAGATAATATGGAACACCCTGTATATTATTGCATTATATGACAGTTTATTAAATTCTATGTATTTTTCAATTATTTTCATTTTGATCTAGGTATCCACGGAAGGATGGTAGAGTATTTTTGTTTTATCTGCCTCTTCTGGAGATAGGTATTAAAAATGTGTTCGCGGATTAAAACGATATAAATCTAGAGCTATACGATGGATCGTAGAGAGATCAAAGTACTTTAAAATCATTGATTTAAACAACATAACAGAAAAATAAATCTTTGTATCTTCATGGATAACTAGATCGAAATGAAAATAAATCAAAAATGTTGGTTATTTGAAGTATTTTGGCTATGCTATGGTGGTGCTGAGTGCAACTTTTGTAGAGAATTTAAGAAGCTGTCATATAATGAAATAAAATACAGAGTGGTTCATATAAAAAAGTAGGATTTTTGTTATTTTCTAAAAAATGTGATGTTATTTTGTTTTTTAATTACAGATTTGGATTCAGTTTTCTACTGCATCCAAAAAATGCGAAATGCGAATGCGCTCCGAGTGCCATCACTTCTGGGGGCGCTTCTCGAAACTAAAGTTAATAAAAATTTATCTGCGCTCTACAATGAGCAAAACCAGATTAAACAGTCTCTCAATGTTATCCATATAAAAAAGAAACAACTCTAGAAATTTATTATATGACGTAGTAACAAATTTAGTGAAATAAAGGCACGTCGTCGTGTGTACAGTGTTCCAATTTGTTCGTTTTCGATGTTTTTGGGAGATATTTTGAGCAAACTTTGGTGCTGTCACGAACTTATAAATTAAGATGAACTGCTAATGCTGAATTGACAAATGACACCTACATGGGGGCAGCCATGATGTGCACTCACTTGGCGCGAAATTCAAATCAACTAATAAACAAGCATTAACCTCACGTTTTCTAATCCATAATTTCAAACAGTTCCAAGATTGGGCTACTAGTTCAAAAGTTACAGCCCTTTGAATTTTCTTTCGAAATTGGTTTCTAGTCTATAACTTTTGATTGAAAAGTCTGATCCAAAAAGTACGAATTGTTTTGGTAAAAAAGGAAGGTTAAACACTGCCTTTTTTTTCGGGCCTCAAAAAAAATTGTCTCAGATCGACCCGGAAAAAATCTTCTTATAGAACGTGGCCTGTAGAATCAATAATTTCAAACAGTTCCAAGATTGGACTACTAGTTCAAAAGTTGCAGGCCTTTGAATTTTCTTTCGAAATTACAGTGACACATGTTATTTTCCAAGGCTGAAATAGTCTCAAAACTTGAGCGCTAGGAAAATTCTCCTAGAAAATAACTAAAATGTGCACATCGTGACCGCGCCTATGCTAGGGCCATTTCTACCTCTATGCAACTCTGTTTGATCAGCAGTCCATCTTAATTTATAAGTTCGTGGGTGGTATCTCAAAAACTAAGCTAACTTTGTAACCGTTTGTCTCTTTTTCTCGTTATATTACTTTGTTATTTACCTTATTGTTTTTTTTTGTTAATACCTACTTGATTAATCATATTATGTTAATTTTGACGAGTGTAACTCGCAGTGATATTAGCACAAATATATATATTATTATTATTAAGTGGGCTTTGGAAAATATAAAAACACGCCCTTACTAATAAGAGACTATTTTTACCTAACGTTTATTCTATATATAGGTACTTTTTTGATATTCCTACATATAACCACATTTCTTCACCCTTCTAAAGTAGTTGAAAAAATAAAAATTTATTGCATTTTTAGACTTTTGCACCGTTGGCACGTTCGCGCATTTCATACGTCAAAATTGAAATCAAAAATGAACGAGAATGTACGAAAACCGAATCACACTATCTCTTTTAGTTCTGAAAATATCGCCAAAAAATATTGAAAGAAGCAATTTGGAGCACCCTGTACATATCAAGTTTAACGAAAAATGTTGTACATGTTTGCACGGTATTTTTTTCCGTAGAATCGAATTTCGAGATCGAATTTTAGCTATTTTCTCGTTTTCCGGTCGAAAACACGAAAAACTCAATTTTGCAACATTAAATATTGATAACAAAAAACTGACTGCTTGTGGGCTTCTGCGATTTTTCCCTTGAACGATTTAAAAAAATAAACAATTGGACGTGCTCTCCCCAGTGCTGTGAGAAGAACAAGAAGTTCGTGCAAATTGCTGCAAAAGATTGGTTTCGATACTAGACAACTCTGCGTAGCGCCATTTTGATATATTACAGCTCAAAAACCATTTGTTTAATTAATGGAAAAATGTTTCAGACAATTTTTGTAATAGGTAGGTACCTACTTTTTGGTGGAACCAACCGAAAAGGAGATAATGCCAAAAAACTTATTTTCGCCGCCATTTTATTAAAATGGCGACGTTTCTCAGGATATTACGGTCTCGCAAACATTAGGTATGTTGTTCAGGACGTAAAACTGAATGAACATGCCAAATTTCAAAACTCCCCGATTTAATGTAAGGTAGACCCCATTTTAGTTCCCCATTGATTGGATTATCAAGTGTGCAAAATTTGGGGACTAAGAACTTCCAATTTTGCAACAAAAAAAACCATTTTTTGCAGTTTTAATCTTTGCCGTCACAAACACCACGAAGATGACACTAACAGAAAGTATTATTCATAATAAGGAGCTTGACTCTTGCAAATAATTCGCAAAATTAAACTGTTTACGGAAGCGAATTACGTCATAATGACTAACAAACTGGAAATTCTACCGGAGATAAAACCACACTTCCCCAAGTCTTGCGCCTTGGGCCCTCAAGCGCGATTTTGAATTGAAAAACAAAATATAAGTAATTAGCTATTCCGATTAGACGTTTATACATAAAAACCGGCATTAATAATTTTCGAGAACAAATGAGTCCCGTTTTTTAAATGTCGGAGTCGATGATGAATCAAGTCAAGGTAAAGACGTATTCTCAAAAATATTCAATTTACATAAAAATAGTCCGAGTTCGTATAGATTTGTGGAATTGCGTCATGGAAACGCCACGTTCGGTACGTTATATGTGATCGGAATTTTATTGTTTTTTTATGCTATTTCCAGTACACAACAAAAGAGCTTGTTTTACGAGGGGGAAAATAGCATTGACCCAAATTAAAGCCAATTCGTATGATCTAATTCCTGTGCCTTGGAGATTTTTGTAAATTTTAAAGCGTACCCAAACGCTGGCGGTTTCGGTTTGTCCGAATGAGTAATTATTAATTCATTAGCAAATGTATCGATGAGCGATTTAGCGCGTTTGTCTAAATAATTGTTAAACAAAAAGAGGGGAGCCCGAGAAGGTCAACTAGTTGCACATAACTAACTACAAACAAGCCCGCAGTTTCGCACAAGCGTATGTTTCCAAAATTTGATGAAATGGACATGTGAAGTGTTGGTTTACAAACGGCGCAAAGGTACCTAAAACCGCACCCGCCAGAATTATTTCAAATTATCTACTTTCAGATGAACATCGGACTTGCACTCGCACTCTCCGCGACAATTGCACTAGTCACATCGCAGATTTACTTTCCCACCGAGGAACTGGACCAGATCTTCGAATCTGCGACGAAAAAAAATCAACCCCTTCGACCCAGTAGCGATCACGATGCCACCGATCCGGATTCGACAGTTTCAAACGCGATAGCGAAGCTAACGTTGGACATAAATCGAGCGACGGGCAAATTGCCCAATTTAGCATTCAGCCCCTATAACATTGCAGGTAATTTTCAAAATTGACTGCGCCGTTTCTCAACTACAATTTAGGTGTGCTCGCGCCCATACTACTCGGATCGATCGGGCAAACTTCTGACGAGATCTCAAACTTGCTGGGATTCGACGAGAGATTTAGGCTGAAGAATGACAATCTTGAAATTCATAGGCAACTGAGGCGATTTTCCCAAAAAATCGGATTAATTACCGGTTTCGGTGATACAATCGTGTACAAAAGCGTGATTTTCGTACAGGAGGACTACCCGATACGAAAGGAATACGAACTGGCGGCCAATTACTTTTACCAAACTAAGGTTTTGAAGGTAGACTTTCAAAGGAATCCCGCTGCAGCGCAGACGTTTATTAACACCTGGGTTGCGAATAACACATTTGGTATTATACCAACTTTATTAGAGAGCACCCCCAGGCCGAGCACCAAGGCAGTCATCGCAGGAACCTTATATTTCAAGGGAGCTTGGGACAAACCGTTTCTAAAAGGAGGTAGCACTTGGCGGCCTTTTTACACCAATGGCCGAACAAGCAGAAGCACTAGCAAGGTGATGATGATGTACAACGGTGGTGAGTTCCCCTACTACAAATCGAAGGATCTGCAAGTCGAGATATTGGGATTACCGTACAAAGGTGGCAATACAATGTACGTCATTCTTCCACAGGACTCGAATATAAACAAACTGCGCTATTTGGAAAATTACCTAACGCCGGTACAACTCCTCGCTCTGGTCAATGCAACCAAACCCACAGAGGTGGTCGTAGCGTTCCCCAAAATGCAAGTCTCCGCCACACTCCATCTGGCACAAACGTTGCGAAATTTGGGCGCGAGATCGCTCTTCGATCCAAACACCAGCAATTTGGCATTAATTACACCGGGCTTTACGACACGATTTGGAGGCGTTTACCAACCGAGACGGACGACAACGCAATCGCCGCCAAACTGGAACAATCAACTTATTTTCGCGAGATTCAACGATCAAACAAGCTGCCAGCGCGTCTACGATTTTATTACGCGAAAATACCGATGCTACAGCGAAGTACGACGCCCGCGCGCCGCCCAATCACAATTCCCTCAAACCTCCCCGTTAGATTTCTTAGACAGGCTGAAAGAAGACCATCGACAATTGAGCGCGAATCCGCAACAGGCGAATCCCGGTCTGTACGCAGAGGAATTTATCCACAAGACGTTCATCGATATCACGGAGGAAGGGACGGAGGCCGTCGCTGCTAGTGGTATCGGCATTAACAGATCAGGCGGTCAAGTGACGTTCCGATGCGATGTACCTTTCTTATTTTTTATATATCAAAAGGAAACGAAGATGATCTTGTTTTGGGGGTCAGTTACCAGTCCCGAGCCCAGTGCTCCCAGTGATAGCAAATAATTGTAATGATCGTATTAGGAAAATAAATAATTTATTTTGTCATTATTGGAGTTTTTGGTGGAGTTAACGATACATAAACAATCCCTGCTTATATTATAGTGCGATAAAAATTAAAAATGTTAATAATAAAATATATAAATGTTTAATAAATATGTATAAAACATTTAATGGTTTAGTACAACAACTTCAGGTGAAGTCTATGCACTGAAACCCTGTATAATAATGCAAGGCTGCCAACCTGTAGTTCTATCGTGCCATCTTCCGGGGGGATGTTTAAACTAGTGCAAATCTCAAATGAGGCGTCAATTAGAGAAACGAATTTGTTAGCGCGTTTTCGTAGCTAACTTCATCCGTATCGCCGTTGAGCGTTAAATCGCTTATATCGGGCGAGGCCTCTTTGCTGTCGATGACGGACGCGTTGCCCAAAATCGGAAGACCGATGATTATTCGCACTGCGTCCGTCAGATGTTCGGCGTCGACGATTTGATTGTACATGCCCTCCGCCTTGCCGATCACCGCGGAGACGTCGATATTGCCGGATAAATCGTTTATGTGCTGTAAATTAATTTTGCAATGATGGGCGTACGTTTCTGTCTTACTGAAATTTACAGGAAACATTACTTCGTTTGGGTAGAGGACGCATTTTTCCCAACACAAACTTACAAGGTACCACTTTGGTCATTATATGTCCAGCTGTTCGTTAGGCAACCAACATGCCACCCTACCAAAGCTATCCGAATATATTTCCAAAGAAGTACCTGCGGCGCAAGAGTAGAATTGCGTATTTGATTTTTCTAATCGTCGCATTGCAAATGGAAGTATCATAGTAGCATAGTACAGGGTTCGCAACTGATTTTAGCAAAAAAATAGAGACTTGGTCTCTAATTAGATATTTAAAAATAGAGACCATTTAGAGACCTTCGAGAACCAATTTCCATACAAAATTAAGCAAAAAATATTTATTTTGTAATAGATGAGATACATAAACGGCAATATATCTAAACAAGTATAAATTGTGCACAACTCTTGTGAGGATAAAACGCATTTTTTTAACCCAAATAGCTTTTTTTTGACATCACCAATGGATATATTCCTTGCAGACGTCCCAATGGCCCTTTGTGAGTACCCTCTTCCGACAATCCGTTCTCGAGGTATAAGGGAATATACCCGATCCCGATAAGAAGTCGAGGAGGAGGGCTATGGTTGGTAAAAATTAATTCCTTTCCTTGAGACCTTTCATTAGAGTACCATGAAGGATAAAACTAGTTCCACCCCCCCCTTCCCCTCCTCACCGTACTTTGATAAGAGGACAGAAAGAAGATCAGTAGTTGGTAGAAAACGGTTCCTTTCGTTGAGACCAATTGGTTGTCGTATGTAAAAGTTATGTACGTTTTACTTTCAAAAACAGCATCTCAGGAAATAATTCGTGGGGGGGGGGGGCCCTTTTAGACAGCGAAATTTGGTGGCCGTCTGGCACACCTTCAAAGTATAGGCTACCTGCGGCAAAGAATTCCAGGACTACCTACCATTCTCCTAGAAGTAGTTCGAAACGGCAGAAGTGGGTTCGGACGGACAAAACGCATTTTTTTTAATTCTTAAAAAATGCGCTAAAAATGTAAAATTTCTGCGGTTCATCAATTATGAATTATACTTTTTTAACATGCAAAATTTAGAGACTTTAGAGACCAAATATGAAAAATAGAGACTTTTAGAGACCACCATTGAAAAAAGAGACCAATGTCTAAGAAAGAGACCATTTGCGAACCCTGATACAATTAAAAAAACAACTGGTACCATTCAAATATTGATGTAATATTTCTTTAGAAAAACGGCCAAATTTAAAAGCAATTAACTAAACCACATACAGGGTGCCTTAAATTGAGTAGGATAACATGGACATCTTTGTTATTATTATACTTACAGATTGGGTTAAAATTGTGTAGTTTTTGTTGGTGATGATTCCGATGCGATATTTTGAAAAAATTAATCGTTTCGTAGATAATTGGAAAAAAGTGAAAATCGTCATTTTTAAAAAGTTCAAATATTTTAGTAACAAAGAGAGCTATCGAAAAAAGTTTTAAATAAAAGTTGCAAGATTCGATGGGACAAATTCAATACATGTAGAAATTTTTTTTTCAAAATGGCGGCTCTCGAGATATTGACATCGACTTCCTTATTTTAAATGAACGCCATATTAGATTTTTACGTCACTCGATAGAGAAAAAATTACAAAACCAGTGATACTAAACACTTAGTATTTCATTTGGGAATCAACCTTGCGTTTTTGCCTCGAAGTTTACAATGTATTTCTTATGGCAATAATTCCATGGCTGATTATGATTGAAACCAAATTTATTCGTTTATTGCCTGCAAGGTTGATTACCAAATGAAATGCTACGTGAGTATCACTAGTCAACACTATCACCGTCAAAAACTACACAACTTTGCCAATTTAATCAAAACTGTAAGTATAATAATAACAAAGATGGCCAACTATCCTACTCAATTTAAGACACCCTGTATTTGTCCCATTAAAGAATACCGAAAATATCTTTACTTACGCCATTATTGAGAAATTTTCTACACAAAAGTTTCTATGCACATAGAAACCATTTTCTTTTCTCCCAATCTAATCATTTTGTATCTTTTAGGTACTGTTTGCAATCCCAGTAACGAACCATGTTAATGAGGCGAGGATATAATGATCTAATTATAAGTCAAATAAGTATAAATCCAAGAGTAGTTGTTGCTAACCATAAAATTAACTCTCCCACCTCTCTGTGGCAAATTTAACCATGGAGTCATGTCAAATGGAGCGAATATTTAGTTCAAAAGGAGCACGGGCCACGCATGAGTGACTTTAAGAAAAACAGGGGTAAAATGAGAGCAATGACTATGCAATAAAATCCCATTTAAATTATCAGTTGTTTAATTCAGGGGCGTAAAGTAAAATTACCGCCGTAAACCTCATCCTCCGTTTTTTACCTCACCCCGAATAGTTACATTTAACAAAATGTTTAAAGAAATTCATTTGCACGACAGTACCATGCCTGAAGAAAAAGTTATCTGTGAGCTGAAACGCTGTTCAGACTTTTTGACGTTTTTGATAAAGTAGCTCGCAATCAATACTTCCTTATTTCAAATGGATGCCATATTCGATCTTTACTCACTTTGATACAGTTTTTTTTTCTCTTTCCAACTATGTATAACAAGCTATCATTCAAATAATAAACATGGGTACAATTACAAATTTCATGTTTTCTTCATAGTTGGCCATGGAAACAAAAGTAGCATAGAGGCCTAATTGTCATTTTACAATGTAACATTTGTTTACACTTTACGACGCGTAATTAGTTACTTGCTGTTGCAAAGAAATAGATTATTGTTATAGTTAGTTCAACAAACCTGTGAAATGCCTACTTTTCCCGTAAACGAACAATATGATATGTTTTGTATTTACATTATATGTGAAAAAAATCACGACGTACTGGTGAAAGATATTTAAACGATTTTCCTAAACGAAAGCATTGATTATATGTGTATAATCAATGACGAAGGCAACCAGATATCAAAGTGTTTAAGAGGTTGGACTTCAACATGCTAGAATACCTACTGGAGAAGGAATTTTATTCCCTTGAAGAATATTTTAATTCGTTGTAACGTCTTGTATGTTTTATATGTAACAATGTAAATTTTGACATGTCCTATATTACATTTATGTAATCTATTGGAAATAAATAAACTTCAAAACTACGGTTGTTTAAAGAAACCTACACGAAACACTACTGTGAATTTTCAAGACGCCCATTGAATTTATCCCATCGAATCTTGCAACTTTTATTTGAAACAAGAGAGGGATAATAAATATAGTAATAACAAAGATGGCCATGTTATCCTACCCAATTTAAGACACCCTGTATAACCTAAAAGGATATGCTTTGGCAATATTGACGATTATTAATGTTTTGTATTTTTTGAAAGTTCATCTTGATGAAAAACGGTAATTAACAATGCGCATATGATAATGCAATGTTTTAGAATTTAGAATGTCCTTCGAGTTGCTAACCCACAACAATATTTTTTATACCGGCCGGTTAAAATTTAACGTTTTTTATTAATGCAATAATTAATACACATTACTTTCTTGTCGACATAAATTTGCGATTTTAAAAACCCTGCCGAAACAGTCCAAAATAAATCATAGAATTGAGACAAAATAATTAGAGACCTTTCAAATAAAAGACCTTTTGACTATCACTCCCATTTGACATTTTTAATAAGAGGGTTGGTTCGAGGTGGTTTACACAAAGTTAATTTTACAGGGAAACACTTAAAACAAAGTTAAAGTCACGCTTCCCGAACAGAACATAAAACCCGCACGCTGCATGTTATGTTTGAAATTGCTACTGTAATATATACAGGGTGAGTTTTTTTCATTTTAAGCATTGGGATCTCGGAAACCATAAGACATACGGATTCGGTTAAATGAGGAAAGAGTTGTCGTTTTAAGAGTTTATTTAAGATATACTTTTGTTTTTTGAAAAAAATCCACAGTTCACTAGATATGAGAGAAAAACAGATTTAGTGATTTTTCATTTAACTGTTGTAGAATATTTATTATTAGAAATACAACAAAATGACACGAATAAAAGTTTTAGACATTTTAATGCTTAACATGATGAACATACTAATTTATTTTTAGATCTTACCATTTTTGAGTTATAATACAAACTTTAATTTTTTTAAATGATAGTCATAGTTGGCTTCGACATTTTTAAAAAGGACAAATTTTCTCTTTGTAACGATATAAGGCTTGCTAAATGTACTTTAATAAATAAACGCCCTGCAGTAATTTTCGTATTATTGATAGGTAAGTAAACAGAGTTATCTTATTAAGCGGAAAAAAATCTACAATTTTTGTTCTTTGCATATTTCTGTAGTTCTAATACTAACGATTCTACAACAGTTCAATGAAAAATCACTAATTCTGTTTTTCGTCCACTAGTAAACTGTGGATTTTTTAAAAAAAACAAAAGCTCTTAAAACTACAACTCTTTCCCCATTTAACCGAATCTCTATGTTTTACGGTTTCCGAGATCCTAATGCTTAAAATGAAAAAAAAACTCACCCTGTATAATATATGCACTGTCTATAATTTTTCATTATCGAGTTGATACCTGTAGCATAATGACTTGCTCTGTAGATTTCATTTAATTATTGATGGTATTTCATGCTATACACTGTGTCCAAAATAAGGATGGGGATCTCCAAAACCATAGAAGATGAAAATCTCTCAACACTATCTTGTGGAGCTCAAATAATGGCAATGAGAAAGTGTTTTTTTTTAATTTTGTTGTATCTGTTCAAATAACATCAGAAAAAAATAAAAACAAAATCGGCAAATTTCGGTTTTTCTGCCATATCTTCGAAAGTTACCAGAATTCTTTAAGGCATGATAATAACTCTTAAATTACGCAGCTTTTCCCCAATTTAACCATCTTTGTATCAACTATGGCTTCCGAGATCGCCATATCTTTATCTTGGACGCAGTCTATATTGGAAAATGAGAACACAAACCAGACACCTACACTTTTTGTGTTTGTATTTTAATTTGTTAAAAGGACCCATAAAAAAGTAAGCCCCATTCCTTAAATATCAATTGAAATAAATTAATTCTGTTTCTTAAAGGAATGCTGAATTTTTCGACGATGTTCATTGCACAAAATATACTGTAAAATACTTTGACAGTGCGCCCCCACCGCGTTTAAGTGTTTTGATTGTGAAGGTAAATATAGGGAGATTCACGTAGCCCGTTTGTTAGAAGTTTTTAAATTTGCAAATTGAAATAGAAACTTGAAATTTTGTTCACAGCCATAATTGACCATTGGGAATTAAAATAAAATAATTTCAAGATGGAGCCATTTCCGTAAATATAATTTTCCATTTTTTTCTAAATACGCCATTTTATTCCGAATTGAACGCATTTAAGATTTACGTACCTATATGTCATAGTTTCTGACATCTCACAATTTTTCTCTAAAAACTTGGGAGATGCAAGGTCCATTCAAAAATTCATACCTCTTATACCTACTGTTCAAGATAACTGACTGCTCTTTTCATAATGGAATTCTTAGAAGTCTAAGGAATTTTTTTTAGTGACCGCTGAAGGTCTTGAAAAATTTTCTAAGGCTGCTGCGATTTTTTAAAATTAGAAAACAAAAAATGTTGCATGTACAGTGGCACCACGCTCAGAAAGTCCCTGACAGGGCGTGTCCGAGGGCGCTAGAAATTTAGACCGTACATTCTGATGCAAAATTTAAAAACACTTTAAGGGAATTACACACCTACCTACCTTATCAGATCGTAGATCTAAGTTATATGAGCCTTGAAAAAGACGAGTGTGTATAAAACTGGACACGGAAAACGTAAAATAAAGCAAATACAAGAAGCAAAGTGTAAATTAAAATAACGTGAAGCGTCAACTGTCAAAACGGAATAATTAATATTTATGGCGCGGAATGTATCGCGTCGTTTTGCAGGCTTTCTATTGGCCAGCCTGAATTACTTCAAAATTAGTTCGCATATTTTCCGGGGCTTTTCTAAGCATGGTGGTACTGTACTTACTACTTCTCATGGTACAATAAGACAAGGCATGCCTATGCGCATGTGCTCGTGACGTCATTTGAGGATAACTTGGCTCTACCACTCAATAAAGTAATGGGGTTATAGTCCTACCAGTTAATAAAAGTGTATCTTCTTTACAGATGTGATAAGATTTGTTCAATGTATGTCAACTGCGTCAAGTTTCTCACATTAAACTTACAAAGTATCAATTATTGCATGTTACCTATACAAATAATAAAAGTTACAATAAAAATATGTAAGTAAAAATTATATTCGCGTTTCCAAATAAAGACGAGACACCTAGCGACAATAAAAAAAACTTAAAAGGCAGATTCAATTTCTGAAATAAGTATAGTAAGTGGTACGTTTAGTTTAGCATGGACATTTACCTTCCATGCCATTAAAAAAAAATATTTGTAAATGTATAGTGGGTGGTTGTTGGAGCACCCTTGGCTGAAGCCCCGCCCACTCAAAAATAAACGCAAAATAAAATTAAAATAAATCTACATATTTTGACAGAAAAATGGACATATGTCAAAAACAGATAGGTACGCAAACTTTAAATACGTTCAATTCGGAATAAAATTGGGCATTCAGAAAAAAATAGAGAATGGTATGTTTCTATTTAAAAAAAAACCAAGGTGGCGTATTTGAATTAATTTGAATTTTGTTGATATAACAACATTAGAAGGTTCTAAAGTTAGAAATAACTTTCACCTTTAATTATTGTTATGCGAAAATATAGCACTTTTACTGAGTAAAATGTTTATTATGTGCAAAGCGGGACTTACGTACACCATATGCATTTAAAAAGATTAAAATGTCTACACCATTATCATATGAGAGTCTGGTCGTTGATTTCTAAAAAAGTCGTAAAAACGCGCAGTTTTTTGTTAATATTAAAAGAGAATGGTTATAAATTTTTAAAAAAACATTTCTTCCAACCGGAGCGAGGTCCAAAGATATACATAATGTCCAAATTTTAGAATCAACACTTTCCTTTTAAAGAAACGATATACAATTTTGATGAAATAAGAGAAAATAATAGAATTCTGATTAATGTAACTTCAGAAATAATGACAATTGACCTGGCACAATCGCCCATAGCACACAACAAAAGAAAATTTGTAATAAAAAATTGCAATTCGTTTGACGCGTGCTCTTAAGAGTTTTGCAAATGCTCAGTCGAAGGGAACTGGCAAAAAATTAGTCGCGCCCCTAGCGACAAAACTATATATTACGACTGCCGGTCACAGCATACCTTATTTCGATCTACAATCTATGTTTTTCTTAAGATGTGAGCAACTTCCGGAATACTATCCCGGAACTTGCCCCAATCTTTAGAAAAACATAGATTGTAGACCGGGATCAGGAGTTCTGTGACCGGCAATCTTTCTTGGCGAGAGGTTTATGTGTGGAGCTCAGTACTTTGGTTTATTGACAATTTTCAGAACTACAACGCAAATAACTATAAATACTTTTAACAAACCCACAAGTGTTTTTTTCTCAGCTTTCTAATGGTACCAAAATAACGACTTTTGGATTTTGATGTCACTCGATAGAGAAAAAATTACAAAATCGACAATACCAAATGCTTAGTATTTTATATAGAAATTAATCTTGAATTTTTGCTTTAAAATTTACAATGTATTTTTTATGGCAATAATTCCATGGCCAATTGTGATTGATACCAAATTCATTCTTTTATTGTCTAGCATAGTGGCCACATAGCCATGGAATTATTGCCATAAGAAATACATTGTAAACTTCAAAGAAATAATTCAAGATTAAATTCCAAATAAAATACTATTTTTTATAGTAGAATTTCTTTCCTTTGTATAGTCCCCAATTGTGGTTAGATTTGCATTAAACAAAAGTTGTTTTCGTCAAAAAGGGCAAATAAAACCAATCTTCTTAGGGGCCCAAAAGCAGAACCTTCTAACCAAAACGTTGATGTAAAAACTAGACGAAAGCGCTTTCCAAGTAGAGGATTCAGACCATCCGTCTACTGGTTGTAAGCCCCCTATCAAAAATCATCGACGGACAATATATCCTTAGAATACTCCAAGGAATAGCCCCTTAAATTTTTGCCGCATGTTTAATAAACACCCTGTACATCTCGATTCTACGAAAAAACAGTATGAGGAATTTATTTGAAACATTTTTTGCCGTGGGAGCAGGTGGCGCTGTAATTAAGAAACTAATTTTAATTTTGCTAATGTTAACGTTTGTAAAACAAAACATTTTTTGTAACTGAAATTTAAAAATACAATAAAACATCATAAAAAAATTTTGATTACAAGCGCCACCTGTTAGCAGGCCAAAAATGTGTCACATAAAATCTTAGTACTTTTTTTTAGTACAACCAAGACATAGAAATGGGGGTTCCCATTTGAAATTACAAAGTTGCCCGCCTACCCCCACAAAAGTGCGGATTGGGGGATCCAATTTTTGGGTCATTCGATAGAAAACAACAATATTAGTAAGATTCCTGCGCTATTTGTTACAAATTTTTAAGCCCCTGAGTTATGAAACGAGTGGACCACCCTGTATTACCATAATATCCATGAACGAGAAGACCTGCACTCCAAGGTTAGTTCCATTTATTTTTGTTCAAGTATTCAAAGTAAACCTTGAATACTTTTAAGATTTAATGTAGAAGGAATTTGTATAAAATTTAAGGTAAAGCTTTGAGTAATTGGTCTTATCAATTGTAAATGCCTGATATAAATAGTAATGTTTAAATTGAAGAGCACATTGAATTTGGTGTAGATGCAAGTCTCGTTTTTGTACAAAAATTTAAATTTTTTATTCCGCAATCAGCCAAATTCAAGGGTCCATTGATTGCCGAATTTGTCTTATTTTACTTTCATCTCGAGAACTAAGTTATGAGAAAGTCAAATGTCTGTACCTCTATCACAGCTCAATAAATTGTTTTTTTTTAATAAAAACAGGGGGGGTTTTACCACCTCTCACCCAAATGTAAACACCGACAGCGTTTCCTGTATATTTCAGTAATGTTACCATTAAAGTAGGCTTCACTTACTTTCAATATCTCAGTAAATCCGTAATTGTTTTCCATCAAAATGTGTTTCTCGGTATCTAAAATTGCAACGCAGATTAATAAGTGAAAATTTTGACAAGGCAGATCGGTCCATAGCACCTCCCACAGGCGCATCGCGTCCTGTTGGGAAAGCTCGCGTTTAAACCACACAAGTAGCCAGCGGAAGCAGAAGAACATGTTGGCCGAATCGTGCTTGTAAAGGTAATTCGCAAACTCGGGATCGTAGAACGCGGTGAGGGTGTTTAAATGTTGCAGCTGCTCTTTCATTCCGGCCTGATCCATGTCGAAATTGGAGCTCTAAAATACCCACATTTGTCCCCCTTTTCTCTCACATTACGCGAATACGTACGACTTTGTTCATGAAACCGACAAAGCACCAGAACGCCTCCACCTCGTTGTTCATCAAGTACAGTATCGGCGAAAGCAAATCGCTCATCCCTTGCACGTAACCTAAATCAAAGTTATACATCGCGTACGTCATCAGGATATCGTATAACACTTGTAAGTTGGGATTGTTATCGCCGGCGAAATAGTCTAAGGTGCGATCCGTGCGATTCACGTCTTTCTCTATTAGACTCTTGCGTTCGCGGTAATCCGTAAAGTTGTCCTCCTGTATCTTGGTCATGCTGCGCCACTGAAGCTTCATGATGAAGTACTCTTCGTTACGTTGCTTTATCAAGTTCGCTTGCTCCGAATGGGTGTACTTCCACCTGTGATAGTCGAGTAGGTACTTCCATACCTCTTTTCGTACATTGCTCGCAATTCCCTGCAATTTTTACAATTACCTACCTATACACTTTCATTTCTTCAAAAATTACAAAGGGTGTGACACATTGAAAAGTGTACAACTAAGTAAAATTGTGTTAAACAAATTAAAGTCTGTATAGAATAACAAACCGCATACAATACTGTTTTCTCATATCTTTTAGATCATAAGTGCTAGTACCTGTAGGCTTTGTTTATTCATTTATATACAGTGTGTTTTTTGGGAGCTTAGTTAAAAGTTTCTGGGAAAGTAAAATAGGTAGGTTTTTGAAAATTTGTACTTAGGAGTTACTCTGAAGGCCGAATTTATGTAAAATATTTTCAAAATGGCCGCACTTCCGGAAACACCGGAAGTAGATAGTAACTTCGTTATTTTAAATGGCAACCCCTATTTTTTTATTGCATTTTTGGATTCTACGTGAAATTTCAGTTCTTTTGATACCCATATGTCATATCTGCCATTTATGGTTTTTAAGTTTTTTTGACTTTAAGAAAAAAAAATGGCGGATGCAGATGGTACCTTGATAATTGATTACTTGAAAAAGGTTATAGTCATGGCAACCCATTTTTATCAGTGCATAGAGAATGAATAGGGCTTTCTTTTAGTGTACTTAAAAAAAAGTTAAGTTGCGTACAACCGCACCTATGGAGATCCAAATTTAAGAAACTTCAAAGTCTATAAACTCAGTTTTTTTAAATGGAATGATCATGTTCTTAATATTGCATGAGATAGAGAATCGAAATTGGCATATTTTGATATTACATGTTCCTATATAAGTGCTGCCACATCGTGTCTAAATGTGGTACTATCTGATTATTCAATTAGTTGGGGATGTTATCTCTTACAAACTATGTAAGATAGAAAAAAGAGAAAAACAGATTTTTTTTACATATTTTTACGTAGAAACCAGTGACGTAGTAAAAAAAACCACTGGACTACGGTTTCCGAGATTTGACCCAATGTTGGAATGTTGGTTATTTTTTCCTGAATGATAAACATTTATTTTGTTTATTGTATCCAGAGTTGTATTCAGAGTAATTAAGGCAGCTGATGCCAATCAATAAAAACCATCCAGGAGCAGTGGCGGTCCCACGATTTGGTAAAGGGAGGGGCCCAAACCAAAACTTTGTCCCATGGAAATAAGATCAAAATTGGACAAGGGGGGGGGGCACTGTCCAGGAGCTTATTCACAAATGAGTTTTTCTAACTTCGGTGACTTTGTTCTCTGTAATTAATTTGTGATAAATATTCATTGTAACCTGTGATTGATATTGTTCGTCTTATATATTTTTTACTGTAATTTTTTTCGGTTGACGAGTGTTAGAAACTTTGAATGTTTTATTTATTTATTTTTGACTGACGGTAAAAACATGTCATTTCAAAATTTTGAAAAATCTATAATATAATACAGTTTTGACTTCATTATTTGTAATTGATCAAAAATGTTTGAATCTTGTTTTAATGTTTTGGGATCCCGGCCTGCTTGATCTGAAAAGAATTTCAAGCACATTTTTACTTTTTAAAATCCAAGATGGCTGTGACAATTGAGAAAAAAATTTTTGTTGAGGTTTCGGTTAATAATACGGGCAACTTATTAAAAAAAGTCTGCTTGAAATTCTTTTCAGATCAAGCAGGCTGGAATTCCAAAACATCAAAACAAGATTCAAACATTTTTTATCAATTATAAATAATGAAGTCAAACTGTATAATTATATAATAATAATAATAATAATAATTGTACTTTATTGACTGAATATATGTAGAATACAAAAAAAAGACGTATATATAATGTGTAAGTAAACAATCTCAGCCAAAAAGATCAATTCGCCTAAATGCAGAAAGGTTCTACCATTGACCTTGACAAACGAAAAAAAAAACAAAAAAAAAACTCGATAATACACTCGAAAGTAAAGGAAAGATAAAGAAACAAGAAAAAAAAAAAAGAAACTGTTGACAGTAATTCATACTCGTCGTGTAGCCAATATATGCGCTTTTATCGTTCTTTTCAGTGATGCCACGGAGCCTTGAAGTATACCTGGTTCTGTTAAGATAAAGTTGACAGTTTTCACCATATTGTAACTAAATGATCTTTTGAAGATTTCTTTGCGGTGCTTGGGTATCACTAGCAACTGACGATATCTACGACGATATGCAATCCCAATTCCCTGTGGAAATCTCCCTCGCAGTCCCACAATCGCGTTTGCAATCTCAAAATTCCCTAATACAATCGGGCATTCCGCTGCAATCAAATTCGCAATCCCGCAATCTGACAATCACATTGGCAATTGCACACGCCCCCATCTGTTCTTAGGCAGAATCACGCGCCACGCGTGTTTGTTCGTCAGAGTCAAGGACAAAAGTTTATTGGTGAAAATATCAACACTGTGCTCGCTATTTTCCGATAAAAAAGGGATGCAAAAGTTCTCAGCAAATTTGTTAAAAAAAGTAGCACCAAGAATAAATAGAACCTAGCAAAAAGGCAAAAATAAAAAAAATGCCGTCAAAAAGGGTCCCAAGCAGAGAAGACAGCGAAACATCTGAAAGTGGAAGCCTCGGTGGAACCTATTCAGAAAAAAAGTGAAATGGAAAATGAAAGCCTTTCTGAAGAAGAGGAAAAAACGTTTTGTGAATTGTCTTTAAAAAAGGAAGAATATTATGATCAAGATTATGATGCTACATACGATACATGGCATATTAGCCGGATCACAGAGAAAATAGATGATTATATATATATAAAATGAAGTTCCTCAAAAGAGACCTTGATGATTACATTTGGTAAGAGGAAGATATACAAATAGTTGCAAAGAAATGTATTTTTGATGATTCCACTCGTATACAGGGTAGCCATTTGAAAACGAAACAGAGCCTATTTTGGGAACCTCAAAACATTTACGAAAAAATCCTGGGACCCGTCAATTTTTTATTCAAGGGGGAACCATTTTTTTTTGCTAGTTTCGCCCCCCTAAGGGCAAAGTCCTAGCGGGAGTGACGTGCTCCCAAAATTTTAAATCGAATGGGGGGTCGAGTGATACCTTATTTTGAAGGTATTTTTATGTGGATTATAACGCTTAAGTTTTAAATCGCTACTAATTTGCCTAGCCGATACAGGGGCTAATAAAAGTTAAAAACGTGGCAACATTTTCTTATGAAAAAAATGCTTGTAAATGAATTAGTTAAATAACAAAAATTAATACAACAGTAAATACAAAAAATGTTGTTCTCCTACATTCTGAACCGTACTTTTTGTTGTTGTTTTTTTTCTTTTTAATACCTGTAGGTAGGTGGCTATGCCAATTCTGCAACGGAAATCTTGGTAATTGTTGAGAGCGTTACCATAGCAACATTTTGAAGTTTAATAGTGCTTGTCAATTGTTGTTGTCAAATAATAGTAGTGACAAATACACACCTGTCGCTATTGGGCTGATTCAAATCCCAGACTATTTCGTGAGGTGCATACACAACGTCCCGAAAAATTGAATGTTTGGGCTGGCATTTTTGGTAACCATATCGTAGGCCCCTTTTTTTACGTGGCAATCTAACAGGAGAGATGTACTTGAAGTTATTAGAAAATACGATTCATCCGGCATTAGTGGAGATACTAGAAAATAACGAGTACTTGGAAAATCGTATAGTATTTCAACAAGATGGTGTGCCACCCCACTATGCTGCAAGGGTTCGTCAATATTTGGACCAAACGTTTCCAGGACAATGGATTGGAAGAAGAGGAGCTATTGAATGGCCTTTTTCGTAAATGTTTGAGGTCCCCAAAATAGGCTCTGTTTCGTTTTCAAATGACCACCCTGTATAGCTATAATAAGTAGGTGCAGAATGTCTTATTTTCGACACTTTTAAATGGTAACGCCGTATAATTGTTAGTGCCATCAAAAAAGTAATAGGATGTTACGTGCTCTTAATGGGTCAAACCGAGCGTCAGCCTTAATTTCATAATGCCCCTTATGTTCTTAAGTAAAAGATATACTGAAAAATTTTATAATGATCTGCCGTTTTAAAAGTAAGTATACGGGGTTAGGTAAAAAATGTATCGGACCTAACCTTATTTTTTTAAGTGGAACACCATGTATTATTAAATAATCTAAAAATATAGCATATTAACGTTTAAAAAATACTACACACTAAAGATGTTATTCAAAAAAGGTTCAAAAAGAGATCAAAAAAGAAAAAACTTTAGGGTTTTTAAATCTTTTGAATCAATATGGAATTGCTGATTGAATATTTTGGAAAAGAGAATTTATTATGATAGTTTTTGATTAAAATCTACAGGGTCTTCAATTTAAAAAATGAGGTACCTACGGAGGAAAATCAAAAATTGTCAATTTCAGGATGAACCTATATTTTCTTAGTTAAAGGAGATCTAGAAAGATGTTTCATAAAAGTTTCTTTATAATGACTGTTGAATAATCTGCCATTTTCAAAATAAGTATACAACGTTAGGTAAAAAGTTATATCTAACCTCATTTTTTAGTGGAACGCCCTGTATATCTTATTCGAAAAAGAGCATATTAATTGGCTTTCCAAAAATATAACATTAAAGAAATTAACAAAAATTCAATATTAGTACAAAAAGATTTTTCAAAAAACTTTTTGCAGTATAAAATTCTGCATAACTTTGTCCATTTAAAGGGCTTTGTATCTCTTACGGTTTACGAGTCCCCATAAATGAAAAAAAACTCAATGAATTAATTTTTTTGTGAATGTGAATAATTTTAGTTTTTAGAAAGGTGGCGCTATGAAAAGAAGTTTGGGAAACACTGATTTAAAAGTTAAAACGACAATTGATTCAACACGCCCCCTGGACTTTATCCAATGTACTAACTCAGTGTTGGTGGAATAACTATTAATTAATAAACAATGCTATAGGCATAATTCAAATTCAAATTGCACGAAAATAACAAGAGGTTTTTAAGACATAAAAAAAATGTCTTGGGAGATGATAATCAAGTTTCAAACAAAAAATTGAAGGAGAAAAAGGATTTTAGAGTTTCAAAAATGTTTTTAAAAGCTTAAAAATTTAAGAAAATTGCAAAGAACTGTCCTACTGTGGAGAAGTATCATTGGTTTCATGGTTATACTCTAGGTCAAATTTTAACGCCAGAAAAAAGTTTAAAAAATCAAAAAATTCAAAACTTTAAAAACCAAAAATTTTTTTCAGGTATTCCTAAACGTTATCATCTTAGACCTTTGATTGCGCAAGGTTGTTTTCATTTCCCCAAATGTCCATAGTGGTCCTCCCGAGGGCCTTTCTCACCTTGGACACAGTGTATAAAAAAATTAAACATATTCGAAATTATAGGGTTCATAGAGTCAGCTTTGATGTAAGCTGCCAGTAAAAATAATATGAAGCCAGTCATATTAGAGAGAGTATTCCTAGAATTACATCATTACATTATTTTAATATTAATATGAATAATAATATTAATTTAATATTGTATAACATGTTTTTTTTTTTTTTGTGCAAAGCACTTGTTATTGTTATAGGTAATTATTATTGTTATATCTATGCTGTTCTTTTTTGGGGTTTCCCTGTGAATAAATATTAATATTATTTGAAATTACTTAGTGTATAAAATTTCAGGGCGTGGTCTCCCCTTCACCCTTCATTAAGAAATTACTTTGCATCCGAACAAAATGAAAAATTCGCAACAATTTTCAAAAATTCCTTAAATTATGGGTCAACATTTTGGATCGTATCACACCCCTTGATAAAATACTTACACCTCTAAATATAACTAATTTCACAGCATCAACATCTTCCACCTGCCCTTCACTATCCTGTAGCGCCTTCCACTGCTCGAGTGACAAAGGACGACCACGAGGATACTCCTTTAGCGCGGGTAACTTGGGCACGTGAGCTATAACCTCGTACTCTTCGTGACTGTGGGTGGTGGTGTTATTTTCGATAGCCTCCAAGCTTCGATGCAATATATTGTGCACTTCCGGATCCATCAGTCTATGCTCGGCGCCTCGATAAACTACAGTCAACAGAATGTGACAGACGTCCCCAACGCAAGATACCTACCAATGTCGGTTATCTTAGAGAAGGCCTCCATGGTCGTCTCGTACGGACGATTTTGAAAATTCTTAACCAGCTTCCAGACGTAAGGCGAGGACTGCTCTTGGAATAAGTTCAGTTCGGCAAACGATTTGTCTAGTTGTTGTCTCTCGGGATTTCTCTCATCGTCGAGTATGCAGTAGACGTGCTTGTCGCGTCTGGAGACAAAAGTCTTGAGTATACCCTTAAGAACGGCGACGAGTCCCTCGCAACTGCCGTGTTGAAACACAAACGTGCACAGATCATCTCCCTTGCCATCTCTAAAAGTCAACTTTTGATTTTTACGTGCGACACGAAAACTTTTAATATCGCTCATATTAATCTTGAGATGTTTCGATCGGTTAGCGTCGACGGGTAAGCTCCCGCTGTAGGTACGTCTACGTCTGACGGTACTTACGACTGTCCACTCTTGATCTTGTACGTCAGAGTCAATTGTAAGATCGATCGGTTTCCATTCGATGCACCTTGTTACGTTCGAATTCGGATACTCGACGATCATTAAGGTTCCAACGTTGTTTAGTTGACTGATATATGCAGCTGGTGCTGTTAAAATTTGCACACCGTCTTGACAAAAGATCTCCAACACTTCTTCGTGGTTATCTTCCATTGTTGAATATGAGTAGATTTTTAATTTGTGACCGTTAGAAAAGCTTCAGTTTCATTCTGAACTGTGACTCTGATTAAAAATAAACTGTTTATTTTGATTTGGGATGAACTTTCAAACTGTCATTGTCACGCACAAGGAAGATTACTCATAAACACAACATAACCTTTAAAGTTCAGGTATTTCAAGTTCAATTCAGTTTGGTTTTGTTATCTGTATTTGAATTGTAGTAAGTAAATAATTACTTTTACTTCGCCTTTAGTAAGATTAAATAGAGCGTTATTTATAACATAAACAATTAGTAACCATAGAATGGAAGCAAGACACAAACGTCAAAACAGCGCATTTACAGGTTTACCAACAAGCAGAAATGCCAACCTAACTTTTTAATGACGTTTAGATGTACAGGGTGTTGCATTTAAAAAACCAACATAGGAAATCCCTTTCGGCTGCGGCCGATCAGGTGTAGGTAGATATTTCAGATTTCTTTCACCGCATTAACATATAAGTGTCCGCCATTTTGTTCCAATATGGCGGAATTGGCTGATACACGAACTTAACCTAGATATGTTTATGAGTTACAGTTTACACCAACCCTTAAAGTTTGGTCGAAATCGATTCATAATTACAAAAGTTAGAGTGTTTCTTGGAAGTGATAAAACCTATAAATCTATAAACCTATAAATATACTGGTACCATTACAATAGAAAATAGAGATCTATCTAAAATTAACTTTTAGCATTTCCAAATATATTCGACCGGTACTGGGTTTTTATTTTAAAGAAGAAAATTGTGCTTCAAAATCCGTTTCCAAAAGAAACTTTGCTTACTTGAAATGCTTTTTGGCTAATCCTTGCAGTTCTTCAAACACTACTTTGGAAAACACTAAGATCTGCCCGCAGTTATTTAAAAAAAGTACAATTTTAGATTTGGAAACTTCAAATCCAAAGCAACCAAATGTATCTTTACTCAGTAGTAAAAATACCTACATTTTGGATAGTTTATACCTTAACGCCTTATGTGTCATAGACACACATGCGTAACATTTACGATAGTGTTTTAGTTTAATTATATGAACAATAATTAACTTTTTTGGGTTTTTACGTCGCCCCATGAGAGATCAGAATTCAGATTTTTAGCATGTTAGAAATGTCTAACAGTGCTACAACTAGGATATTAAAGACCCGGAACACGAATCCAAAAAAACCAAATCTCTCTATATAAATTTTCGCTCTTTTTTGGCGTTTAGTGTTAAACAACAATTAAAACTCACCCTTAGTCTTACTAGTTCAATCTCTCCAAGGGAAGGAGTACCATTGGACCGACACTACTTATACACCGCACCGCTTAAACTTTTCGCAACTACTGACGACGATTTGTAAATTGCGAAACGATAACAGGTAGAGGTCAACGTCGGTGCGTCCCCCTTATCTTTTACATTGCATACCAATCTTATTCAATCTCTTTAGTCACCAATACCTTAATTGAAAAGTGAACTCTTTATAAAGGGTGATCAGTAATAACGCGTTTTGAAGTCACACCACCTAATCATTATTTGTTTTTAAATTTCAATATTGTTTGCGTTTTATCCATCCGGACAGACATTTTGATTTTAAGTTTTGGGAAAAAGGGCACAAGTATAATTTCAGAAACCAAGAACTAAACATTCATGCTTTACCTACAGTGTGGACTATGAGATTAAAAATTGTGGGAAGGCGGAAGAGTAAAATGTTTCTATTGGGTCTCAAATTAAAAACCCTTTAGTTGTGCGTCGTTTACGAATGGCAATTTTTTTTAAATGTTTGTAGAGGGTGGTTCAAATTCATGGCTCACCATTGGGATTTCCGCAACGATGAGAGATACAATATAGGTTCAATGGGGGTTGTCTCTTTTTGTGACTAACGCATTTGAAATTTTTGGAAAATCTTTAAAAATATAATGATATATGTATCACCGAAAAACTGAAAATGTCAAGTTTCGTTTGGACGCTATATTGAATTTTTACGGAATAAGATAGAGGGCAAAAAAAGAAATTCATTTGAAAGCATTGTCATCATAGCCATGTTGATTTGGCAAGATCTAGTTACCCGTGGATGTTTTGTTCAGAAATGAATGTAAAACATTTGATTTTGAAATTTTTCTTGTAAATTTATGCAAAATGTAAAATGTGTGACACGTCATTATTTTCCTTTTTTGTCCTCTATCTCGAATAAATCCAATAGGGCGCCTATAACAAATAAGAAACTAGTAGCCTGTAGCTTCTTCGTCTTATGCAAATGTCGATAACAGATTCTACAACAAAAAGAACCATCTCGAAAAATTGAAGCTAGGGAACATGAAAAGGAAATTTGACATTTCCAGTTTATCGATGATAATCTCAGTTATTTTTCAAAAATTGTTCAAAAATGTCAAATGGCTTATTTTAGTAACAAAAAGAGGCAACCTACACTGTCTCTTACCGTTACGGAGAGTCACGAACACGCTGTACAGCAACTTATGGGTTCAAACCTCAAACTAAAAAAATTACTGTTTTCTTGGATTTTCCGTGGAGCTACTTTTAGAACCCCGTGAAAATACCAAATCGCGTCATATTTTAGTATAGGCATGTGGTGTGAAATTATTAGATATAAAGTTAGCTTAAAAGTTAAAGTCTCGGGACTGCATATAAGTAGGTACAGCATATGTATAACTCTCGCCAAGAAAGATTGCCGGTCACAGCACACCTTGTGTCAATTTACAATCTATGTTTTTCTTAAGATGCGAGCGACTTCCGGAATAGGATCGTGCCAATGTTGAACGAAAAGACTTTTCGTTCAACATTGGCACGATCCTATCCCGGAAGTCGCTCACATCTTTAGAAAAACGCAGATTGTAGACCGGGATCAGGTCTTCTGTGACCGGCAATCTTTCCTGGCGAGAGGTTTAGGTAGACTTTATCACAAATTGGACGATAGTAGACGAATTTACTTCATGAAACTGGTATGGCTATGAATTCATAGTCATACAACTGCATATGAAGTAGGTAAATGTTAATAATCGATTTCGCGCGAGAGAGAACATTTGAAAATTATAAAAATCGGTCTTAAGTCACCAAGATAATAGGCCAAGAAAACGACCACCACCAACGTGGAATTGCAACACGAAGGTCAGCAAAAATAAATCGCTGATTTTTATTTTGGGCATTTTTCCCCCACTACAATCTATAAAAAAGAAAAATCCTACCTTTATACTTGCTGCCCTTTTGGAATCTGAAACAAAAAAAGTAGGTTAAACAGATGAAGAAAGTTTAAATTAAATTTATTATATTATGCAAGTGAATGAAGAAAAAGAAAAAGGCAAATCTACCGAAACCAGATCAGCAACCACACTCACAGGTTTGATGTCTCTAGTTGGTACAGACTATTTCAGAGTAAGCTCCTTATTTTTTTTAGCCACACTATGGATATTTGGCAGTATGTACATATGTTTTAGGGCATTCTTTCCACGATGGTGATATCAGATATTAAATTGAATGAATTATTTCAAAATGGTGACTTTAAACTTTTTTTAAAAAATGGATATACGTCTTTTTATTATTGAGATCCTAAAAACGTGCTTTTTACGATAGTATTTCGTTTTTCTTAAAAATTCATTTCTTTCCCTATCAAAATACAAACTAACATTTTAATCTAGTAGCGCATGAATGCTTTACACTCGATGACATTTTTGTCCAAATATCAAGTAGTGGTAGACACAAAACAAAACAATTAAACTTTATTTTGTAATAAACGTCTACTTTTTGAAAGTCAACTTTAAAAATTTACATCAAATAAAAATTAGACATTTACACAAAATGGAAAGTGAAAAAGGGAGGTTTTTGAAAGTTTGCACTTAGAAGTTATACTGAAGGCCGAATCGATGGAAAATATTTTCAAAATGGTGGAATTTTCTAGTCACTTTGATATTTTCAATGGAAACCCCTATTATATTGCATTTTTGGATTCTACGTGAAGTTTCAGTTTTTTTGATACCCATATGTCGATATCTAAGTACAGTTTATGGTTTTTAAGTTATTTTGACTTTTAATTACAAAAATCTTGAAAATTAATTACTTGAAATTATGGCAACCCATTTTGACCAGTGCATAGAGAAAGAATATGGCTGTCTTTTGGTGTAGGTACTTAAAAAACAGTGAAGTTACGTACGACCGCACCTTTGGAGATCCAAATTTAAGAAATTTAAAAGACTAAATATACCATTTTCTCGGATTTTCTTTTTAGTAGTCGGCCATGAATTTATGACAATCGAATTTTAAACAAATCTAGTGACACTACCGCGTCATATTGATCAAATCTTCGAACACTGGAAAGAAATTGTTTAAATTTTGTCATAAAATCATAGCTGACTACGAAAAAGAGAATCCGAAAAAAATTGCATCAATTAAATGAAATGGGAAAAGTCAGAAACTGTTAAAGATAGCTATAGGAACATGCCATATCAAAATATGCCCATTTTCATTCTCTATCAAATGGAATAGTAAGAAAATGGTCATCTCATTTAAAACAAAACGAGTTTTTAGTCTTTTAAATTTTTTAAGTTTGGATCTCGAAAGGTACGGTCGTACGCAACTTCACTGTTTTTTCAGTACACTAAAAGAAAGCCACATTCTTTCTCTATGCACTGGTAAAAATGGGTTGCCATAAGCCCATAACTACAACCGTTATCAAGCAATCATTTTTCAAGGTACCGTCTGCATCCGCCATTTTTTTAATTAAAAGTCAAAATAAGTTAAAAACCATAAATTGTAGATATTGACATATAAGAATCAAAAGAACTGAAATTTCACGTAGAATCCAAAAATGTAATACAAAATAGGGATTTCCATTTACCTAAAATATCGAAATGACTAGCTACTTCCGGTATGTCCATTTTACATCAATTCGGCCTTCAGTTAACCTAAGTACAAATTTTCAAAAAACCTACCTAGTTCTCTTTTCAAGAAACGTTGAACTAAAGCTCCCAAAAGAACACCCTGTATATAGAAGACATGGCGGAAAAAGGAAAAATATGGTCTGAACATCGGGAGGGAAGAGGAAGAGTATACGATTTGCGAACGACATGATTGTATTTGCTGAGAGTGAAAAAGAACAGTAACAGTAATGGTAGACGGAGCAAGGATGGGAAAGGGAAATTAAGACAAGGATAGCGATGACAAAACAAGCATTTAATAATAAAAGAAGGATTTTGTTTTTGGTTGATGGCCCAGAACAAGAGAGAGGCAATAAGTATTAAGTACTTATTAGGCAGAATTGGAGAAGAAAGAAGTGAAAAAAATGAACTGGATTGAGCATGTACTAAGAAAGAACTGTTCGTCGAAATCAGTTTTTCGCACCCTCATTTAGGGGTGCGCTTATTTCGTGGTAGGAATTTTGAAAAAATGTTTGCAAAATCGGAAAGGGCGCATACCCGAAAACCTATTCAAAGACTTTCCACCAATCTTTCTAACTCTTATGGTTGATGCTGAGCAAAAATTGAAAAAGAAATGCAAATGTCACCACTTTTGTGGGGGTGCCTTTCAAACCAAGCACGTTGGACCCTCGGTTTATTTGGAAAAAATGCTTGTTTAAATCCCCTCTATCACTCAAATTTTTTTACATACTTATATGTAACGTAACACCCGGTATGCTAATTCAATATCCACCCATGATAGTTCTACCCTTCTACTATGAGATCAAATACGTTGGTGTCGAGTTACCTTTGGAATTTTTGTTTACATAGAAAATCGTACTTAACTTAAACTTCCAAAGGCTACTCGACAGCAACTCATTTTTGATCGCCCGTTAGTTAGAGTAAACTGAAATACATTGAGTGAACGAGATAAGGTACCAAATTCTCACTGCCGTTCATTTTTAACCGAATATACCTACATACGTATATTAACGTATTGTACCACGTAAGCGTAATATCCCCAGCCCTCCTGGAACAACGCTGAAGAATGAAATAGGCGACCACAATAGAACATATTATTCGACATGTACTAGATTTTCATTTTACAAAAATATGAGTTTCCAAGAGAAGCTTTCCTTATCTACGTGAAATACTTTTTGGTTAATCCTTGCAGTTCTTCAAACAGTACTTTGGAATCCACTAAGATCCGCCCGTAGTTATTTAAAAAATGTGCAATTTTAAATTTGGAAAATCGTATCCAAAGCGACCAAATGTAACTTTGCTCAGTAGCAAAAATACCTGTTTGGATAGTTTAACTTAAGGACACATCCGTTGATGATTAACGCCTTATGTGTCATAAACACACATACTGGAAAAATGTGAGCAAATGGTAGAATCGCGTAACATTTACGATGCGGTTTTACTTTAACTATATGAACAATAATTACCTTTTTTGGGTTTTTAAGTCCCCTTATGAGAAATCAGAATTCAGATTTTTAACTTGTTAGAAATGACTAACAGTACCTACTACTACACTTAGTACTCGTATATTAAAGGCCCGGAACACGAATCCAAAAAAACCAAATCTCTCTATGTAAATTTTCGCTGATTTTCGGTGTTTAGTGATTAAACAAAAATTAAAACTCACCCTTAGTCTTACTAGTTCAATCTCTCCAAGGGAAACAGTACCATTTACCCCATTTACCATTGCAACGACACTACTAAATACACCGCACCGCTTAAACTTCTCGCAACTACTGACTACGATTCGTAAATTGCGAAACGATAACAGGTAGAGGTCAACGTCGGTGCGTCCACCTTATCTTTTACATTGAATACCAATCTTATTCTATCTCTTTAGTCACCAATACCTTAAATGAAAAGTAAAGGTTAATCACGCGTTTCGAAATCACACCACCTAATCATTATTTGTTTTTAAATCTTAATATTGTTTGCGTTTTATCCATCCGGACAGACATTTCGATTTTAAGTTTTGGGAAAAAGGGCACAAGTATAATTTCAGAAACCAAGAACTAAACATTCATGCTTTATCTATACAGTGTGGACTATGAGATTAAAAATTGTGGGAAGGCGGAAGAGCAAAATGTTTCTATTATGGGCCTGAAATTTAAAACCCTTTAGTTGTGCGTCGTTTACGAATGAAAATTTTTTTTTAATGTCTGTACGGGGTGGTTCAAATTCAATGGGATTTCCGCAACGATGAGAGATAAAACATAGGGGTTAAATGGAGGTTGTCCCGTTTTGTGAGTAAAACGGCTTTGAAATTTTTGAAAAATCTTTAAAAATAAAATGATATACCTATCACCGAAAAACTGGAAAAATTTTGTTTTCATTTTTCCTTGTTCAAACGGGCGGAAATGGACGGTTCCCGTTAGCATCTCAACACGCCATGTATTTAGAACTTAGACAAGCTACTAGTTTCTTGTAGACGTTATTTCTTGACACGTTTATTAAAATTTGTTTTCTAATGCTATAAATTTCGATCACTAAAGGTCAGGCCAAGCATCAGAAAATTAATGAATATTGGTGTTCATGTAATGGAGTAATGTTGTTAGACAGGAAAGAACTATTAGAAGGATGTTAAAAAAGAGAGGTTCTGAACCTCGATAGCATTTTAATAAACGTGTCAAAAAATAACGTCTACTTCCTTCATCAATCCACACGTTTCTAAAGGAGATGGAAAATTTCATCCAACGAATACTAGTTTTTTAGGACGCCATATTGGATTTTTACAGAATGAGATAGAGGACAAAAAATTCATTTGAATGTATTGTCATCATATGCATTCATAGCCATGTTGATTTGACAAGATCTAGTTACCCGTGGATGTTTTGTTGAGAAATGAACGTAAAACATTTGATTTTGAAATTTGTCTTGTAAATTTATGTAATAGTAGGTACCTATTTTACATTATTAGCCAGATAAGCGAGTTTTTACTGGCGATAGGAGATAGAGCCAGTAAAAACTATTACCTGGCGTATAATGTACAATATTTTATTTGTTACTCATTTGTAAACAATAGTAAACGTAAATAATTAGTTCTTAAATTGATCTCGAAGAAATGTCTAAAATATCATGTTATCCATGTAACAGAGACTTCGCATTAGGTAATTCTGGCCAATGAAATTACTAGCTTGTAAAATTTTTACAGGTCAGCTGTCAGTTTTACAAGTCTTGTTTTGTCTTGTTAATCAACGTTTACAACTGAGTAACAAATAAGTCAGTTAAAGTTAGTGTTAGATAAAAATAATAGGCGGCGTATTTAAATCGCGTATAAAAAATCAATAATATCAATTTCATTAAAGTTTAACGTTGAAATATATTATATATTGCCGATGGGCGCTCTTCATTTTTTAGGGGTGAAAACTACCCCTTTTTGCCAAAACCCATAAAACTACATATTAAAGCTTAAGGTGAGAAAAATTTGGTTGTTACTGATTGATAGAGGCTTTGGAACATTCTTAAAGAATATTTCCACCCTCAAAAATGAACTCTTATTGTGTTTTAATAAAAAAATGTAGGTATTTACCCTCAAAAAGTTAATAAATGACGACAGTTGTGCTATTTTTTATGATAGAAAGTGCATTAAAACAATTGGATGCTGTAGCATCTTTACGTACCTCCGCCGGTTGTTTTGTAGTTATTTAAAAGAGAAGGACGTTTTTCACAAAATAGCTGAAATTCGTTATTCACTTTTAACTTTAATTATTTCAAAATGAAGTCTTCTAAACTGGTCACACTTCTAGAATGTATTAATAATACCTAATTAAAGGAAACTGGAAAAGGGGAAAGACTAATTTTAATTAGGATAGTAATTAGGGCCCTGATTTTTTTCCTGAGAAAAGTACGGATCTACCTTATATTCATCGTAACTCACTCACCTTTTATATGCTCAAGTTTGTTTTAAAAAAAGAAGAAAGGTTTTTTAAGTACTGTAAGTACTTTTCTCGAAAAATGCATATATAGTTTTACCATTATTTGACTGTAAAACTCTCTAATTTAGCTTTTGAAGAACAAGAGCTAACCTTTAACAAGCTACAACTCGGTTCGTATTGGTCATACAGCAATTATTAGTAATAAAACCATTTTCTTTGTTTTATTTAAAAGCTAATAAACAAAAAGCTCCACTCCGTGAAAAGAATTTATTTATGAAGGTAGGTATAGACCAGAGCTGGGCAGAATACTTTCAAAAAGTATTTGAATACTAAATAATAAATACTTTACACAAATCAAAGGAATACTAAATACTTATTTACGTCCAGCACAAGCGAATACTAGATACAGATACATTGAAAAGTATTCAAATACTTTAGAATGCATTCGAATACTTTCAAAAGTATTCGAATACTTTGAAAAGTATTTCATTAACTTACTTTGAAAAGTACTTATTCAAATACTTGTCACTCAAATACATTAAAAATGTAAAATAGTATACTAGATAAAAGTCTTAATACTACTTAAAAAATCAAGTTATATTTTGTATGGGGTTAGCTTTTTTTATATTTCTATTGTTATATACAAATTTAAGGGGAGTAAAAGTAATAATTTCAAACAGTTCCAAGATTGGGCTACTAGTTCAAAAGTTACAGCCTTTTGCATTTTTTTTCGAAATTGGTTTCTAGTCTATAACTTTTGATTGAGAAGTCTGATCGAAAAAGTACGAATTGTTTTGGATTCTACGCACCAAAATTAATAATAAAAAGTGTTTTCCCGAGAAATTTTGGTGTAGTCGATTTTTGGTAAAAAAGGAAGGTTATACACTGCCTTTTTTTGAGGCTCGAAAAAAAAATTGTCTCAGATCGACCCGGAAAAAAAATTTTCTTATAGAATGTGGCCTGTAGAATCCATAATTTCAACAGTTCCAAGATTGGGCTACTAGTTCAAAAGTTACAGCCCTTTGAATTTTCTTTCGAAATTGGTTTCTAGTCTATAACTTTTGATTGAGAAGTCTGATCGAAAAAGTACGAATTATTTTGGATTCTACGCACCAAAATTAATAAGAAAAAGTGTTTTCCCGAGTAATTTTGGTGTAGTCGATTTTTGGTAAAAAAGGAAGGTGATAACCTGCCTTTTTTTAGCTCCGAAAAAAAAATTGTCTCAGATCAACCCGGAAAAATTTTTTTTTATAGAATGTGGCCTGTAGAATCCATAATTTCAAACAGTTCCAAGATTGGGCTACTAGTTCAAAAGTTACAGCCCTTTGAATTCTTTTCTAGTCTATAACTTTTGATTGAGAAGTCTGATCGAAAAAGTACGAATTGATTTGGATTCTACGCACCCAAATTAATAAGAAAAAAGTGTTTTCCCGAGAAATTTTGGAGTAGTCGATTTTTGGTAAAAAGGGAAGGTTAAGTATTCAAATACTATGCGAAGTATTCGAATAATAAATATTTGTGAAAGTATTTGAGTTACAAATACAAATACTGCTTGCATAAAGGTATTTAATTACCAAGTATTTGAATACTTTAAACGATTTGAATACTAAAAAGTATTTACAAAATCGATTACTGCCCAGCTCTGGTATAGACGCTAGTAAACTTCCCGAATTTTAGAGGAATCTCTATAGAACATCCATTCTGAATGTATACAACATACATAGAATATCCTATTGAACATCTTTTGCATATTACAGGAATATTCATGGTATATCCAGTTGTCAGTATACCAATATACATAGCATGTCTGATGCATATAAGTACATGCATATACATAAGACATCCAAAACGTATATACTATGTATTATGTGAAGTCTGCGAAACTTATATCCCAAGCACATACATCGGACATTTGCGACATACTTCCACATTCTATGGATATACAATATCCCACGTGGAATGTACGTGATATATGCAATGTATATAGGTCTGCTATGTGGGTACTGTTTGATGAATCTATACTCATCAACTCTCCTCTACTTTGAACACTTTTCAAGCAATAGAAAAATTCCGCTGATCTGAAAAAAAATCACCAACATTCAAAATCCAGTGTATAGCGTATTTTGCATTTCATTTTATTATAACACTGTTTAGGGAGAGGAATATCAAGATCCTCACCTCTTCTTTTCCTGGAGTAGTTTCTAGGGTGCCTCACCTAATTCAAGTGGCACAAGTCGTTACCGATTATAGGTAGTTACTAATATAGGCATTGAGGCTTTGAATTTATTTTATATTCAAAGGTATAGGTAGATCCGTTTTAAAAATCTTCTACATGTATTTCTGTACACGCAATTTGTTTCTCTGATATACAATCTTTCAAATGTTGGGACCCCTTGCCACTATTTAAATGGTAGGGGTTGTTTCCGGGTTGATGTAGGTAAGTTAATTAAAAGCTCATGCTTGTGTTTTTAGATTATCAACGGAGCTAAATGAGCTAAAGTTCCAATCGAGTAGAAAAAATCAAAGATACATTCTTTGGAAGTTCGAATTTAATTGTTTCAAAGAGTTATAGATGTCTCTGACACATCTAAAATGTTAGAAGTCGGTGATAAATTAATCCTTGTAGGAAAGGTGTTCTGCGCCCGATAGTTGAAGAAATGCACCACGAGGTGGCAACAGTAGAATACTTGCCCTTTTAATTTTCGTTAAGGGAGGGTAATATAATGTAGGTAGGTAATAAGTAATCGATGTTTACATATTTCCACCCCCTTTGCTTAATGTTATGTAAAGCGTATTCGCACTCTCTTAGAAAAGAAGTTGATTTAAGGGAAGGTAAGTTATTTTATTATCGGGGCACATATGGAACCGTATTGTGCGAAGCGATACGCTAAACAAATCCTATATGCAAACTACGTGGTTCGGAGAGTCCTAAGGCTAATCGATTGCGACACCCCGCGACTTGGTCTTATCGTAGTCCAGCAGCCGCTCTGCGTTTCATTTTCAAACATTTAAGTCAATATGGAAAATGTCGCCGAAACGTTATTATGCATACGGTCGATTTGAATTTCTTCTCCTGATGGATAAATTCGAGTGTCAAATCCCCAACACTCAAATATAACAACGTCCGATACGTAACAACATGTTTATCGGAATATGCACATCGTGTATTGTTTCGAACTTCATTGTTGCACCACCTGCACTCGCATTGTGTGGCTTCTACAGAACAATGCATTGCATTAACATCCCTGATAATCTGTTAAAATGATGATACTATTTCGGAAGCGCCGCTTTGTGGTCTTTATTAGGTGTAAACTATTGCTTTTTGATACCAATTTGTTAATTTAACGCGAGTGGACTGTTATATATGGTCGATAAAAAAACGGTTGCATAAATCACCAAGAACCCTACGCAGATTCTTGGCGGTCAAATTGAAGAGCTTTTGCGCCATATTGTCTAGTGATCCATCATACGACTGTCAGTAGTCATTGTTACGGAAACTGTATAGAAGGCACCGATTGTTGTGACGCAGACGACTACTGTGTGAGCACGCATAATTGCCCAAGTTTAAAATCGACGGGATCAAATTGGCTTTGTGAGAATGAATATTTTATTTTGAGCAATCTCATTAAAGAAGCCAACATTAAATTGTCGTTAAAGATTAAAGGGGGACAAATATTTTATAATCGGATCGGATATGGAATTCCCTCCGCCAAATTTAAGAAAGTCGGAAGAGTGCCGCTTGAATTAATTATGCTAGTACGTCAGAATTTACGATAATATTCGCGCATAGATTTGAGCTTTCAACTCGTAAAATGGAGGAAATAAATCTGCTTTTTACTATATGAAAACCTTTGGATAGCACTTTTATGGCAGATTTCTGTGTGAAGAATACATAATCTATAGATCTATATAAAAGGCTACTTTATCGCCACCTACCACAATATGCATATACAGGGCTTGATGTAATTTTATATGACACATTATATATTAAAATCGGTTTTTTGACGCGGAAAATAGCCCATATACTATCAATATATCACATATTCACTTGAAAATCTAATGGACTCGCTTTTGTATTCGTTTCCTTCCGAGAGCTTGCACTGAAAAATGACATAGGTGGCGATGTTAAATCGAAAATACTTATTTCTCGCAAAGATTTGCCGGCCCTTAATGGGAAAAGGAGTTGAACTGTTTACAATATGATGCGATGCGGGTGATGTGTAGACGTATACGAAATGTGCAATCCACGGACTAATATATCCGTGCTTCGCCATTAATCATTTCGATCAGCGACAGCTTGGTCCGCGTGCGTACTTCTGATAACCCACGCGTCTCCTCCTATTTGCACGACTCTTCTTAATACCTCAGCAGTTTAAATATCCTCTTCTTTGGTAAATGTAAAAGATGCGAATATTTACGAATGTGTTACGTTTTATCCCCTCGTCCTATAGAAATAATGGGTAAATGCAGAGAAGGGTGATCTTCCCTGCGTCTAGTGGACCGTCGTGATAAACTAGGGGATGCTTTAGGGGAAATATGTTGAAAGCGTAGCTGTTCCGGCACAGTGTATCAGTAACCTACTGACCATCAGACATTGTTTAATTTCTTTCATTTTTGGAGGTTGGTAACACTTGATGGGGTTGAGAAATGACTAAAGGAACGTCAACTGTGACAGTTGGAAAGCTCTTTGCTACTTGAATAAAAGTAATGCACGATTCCAAAGTAAATGGCGGCGTAAAAATAAAAAGCGTCGTAGAGTTCGTATTGATTCCGCAGTGACAGCCCGGTGACATTCTTTATCAATACGTCACAGCTCATATTTCAAGTTCCCTTGCATCCGCCCTCGGAGCTACAAAGAAACTAAGTTCTTTCGGTAGCAGTGGGTGGTGGACTTGTATAAATGCGAAAGAGGGGCGCCAATGGGGCGTCGGGGCGCAACTCGTTCGCCCAATGGCGGCGCCATAACGCGTGATGGAACAAATACCGCCCACCGGCACTTGCAGAAGTTTTTCCAAATGTTTTTATTTATTACATTTGTATCCACCGAATGTACCGGTCGCGTCCACACTTCCTTCAGGTCGCGCAGTGAGTGTACCGCGGTGAGCGCGCACCGCCCCGCCCGCGACAGACAGACAAACAGTCAGCACCCTCACTATTACGACATCTCTCTGACTGTTTGCTGTAGTACGATTGTAGCTGCGGGTGATGGACTAACATTGTGCTGTGTACATAAAGGTGCTGCTAATACGTGTCGTTGTTACATTGAGTTACCGCCGTCGGTATGATGGACACTTCCGGTATGGATTCCGCTAGTGACCATAGCAGTCACGCTTCTTCCGGTTCGCCCGCGGTAGCAATCAAGCAGCCCTCGTCCCCAGTTAACAACAACCACTTGATCTCGAACAGCCACAATCATCAAGTGCACAGTCCGCGCCAGGCCAGTCCTCTGATACCGCCGATGTCGATGGCGCATCCTCTAAGTCCACCGCCGGTTACGTCGGCGGGTCTTGCGAGAAGTATAGCCCTCGGTCACATGCCGCCCCCCGGTCTGGGGTTGCTCAATTCGCTGGGAGTACTCCATAACCCTCTGGATCTCATGGCACATCACGCACCCCCGCGTTCTTACAACAGCCCACCCCCGATATCGACCTCAGATCCCACGGCCAACGAATGCAAGCTGGTTGATTACCGCGGCCAAAAGGTTGCTGCCTTCATTATCGCAGGAGATACGATGTTATGTTTACCACAAGCTTTCGAACTCTTTCTCAAACATTTGGTCGGCGGTCTACATACTGTCTACACGAAATTAAAACGGCTAGACATTGTGCCACTCGTGTGCAACGTTGAGCAAGTACGCATCCTTAGAGGTTTAGGAGCAATACAGCCGGGCGTCAATCGTTGCAAACTACTCTCTTGCAAAGACTTCGACACCCTCTACAAAGACTGCACCACTGCCAGGTACGTGTCGACTCTAAATTACCGTTCTACAAAACCAATCCCTTTCACCTTACAAAGACTCTCCTTAATTGTAACGCGAAAGATCACAGCTATGACCAAAATTTGCACCGGTGCAAAAGAACCCACTAAATCATGTATCAATGCAAGCTCAAGTTCATAAATACAAAACCGTAACACAAACCCTCGCAGTTAGATTAAAATAATTACAAACGCAACGAAACAAGGGGGAAGCCAGATCTAGAAGTGGAGCACGTATAGGGCCCCTTACAATTTATAATGCCGGTGCTCTCTCTCTTCATGGGCAAGTGAATTTTCTTCATCCGCAAACGGATAAAAGATCGATAAATTAACACCGGGTTTAAAACTCATTAAAAGTCAGCATCCCAAAAAAGAAGGCCTGACAGAACTGATTAACAGAAAGGCGCAGTGGGTCGCCTCTCTCTATGGATCCTTTACAATTGCTACTGATCATTTATAATTCAAATATTAGATCGCTTCGGCGGCGCAATTGAAGATGTTTCGTACCTAATAAACGAAAGGAATTTTGTTCGGGACGAAAGAAGAAAAAAAAACCTCCCGTTGTTTGCGCGTATAAATAACGAAGTGATTTTCTGGAACAAGTTGTAGGTATAACCCGAGTCTTGATGTTTTAATGGCTAAGGCGTAACTGTCAACAATATTTATTTAAAGATGATTTAAAACGCCATACAACATTCGAACTATATGCTTTGTTGTTATTATTTATTATACTCCGTTCGTGAAGAATACTTTGTATGAAATTACATGCATCTCGAAAATTTTATGGCACTCATCTTCTGTTTACCATTAACTATGAATCAATCAAATTTGATATGGGCACTTGCATTTTCACACGTCGCGTCAGCTTACTTAAGACACTTAACATTTAATTATCTTCTTCTGGTCGGGTCCAACAGTATGATGTAGCGAAATAAATAGGAACATTAATTTGACTCCATCTTGAGAAATTAGGTGTGCAAATTGGCGATCTTGCATACCAGATAAATGTGACAGATTTTTAAAATTGTTTGTACAGAAAACCAGGGAATGAAAGACAATTACAATTTTTACAGTAGTAACAAATACTGGAATGATGGTTAGAGGTAATTTTAATTCAATTTTACCACAGAAGCGATGTTTTCCCGTGGTGAGTAAATTGTCCAAACCGTTCTTAAGATGAATTTCAGTGTCTCCTAACGTCGTTTTAGACGATTAAAATCAGTTTCTGTAATTTTACACATCTACCTACTTCTACAGGGCGTCCCGCGAGGAAAGAGATAAAATAACGTGTTCCTTAGGTGAATTCGAGTCGAAAACGACCCATGAACATGAGTCCACAAATGCATCGTTACCGAGATATGATTTTTTTTTTAAATTTAGGTAATTAATATTAATAGGAAAAATAAAGCACTATACCTACTGATGGAACGCGAGACACCCTGTATATACAGGTTGGTGACTTGCGTAACGCATCATAGGGATTTCAATGTAAAATTCATAACATGCGATTATTGGCTCCCCAAATTATTTTAGAGCAAAAATGTATTAAGGTTTTTTGTAGAAAAAAATTTGTTACGTCAATCAACCGTACCTATTAGTTTTCAATTTTTTGCATAGGTAATAAAGACGGAAAATTGTAAAAATAAAACCCCCAACTTTTGCAATAATCTGTGATGCCATGGAATTTTCTAAAACAAAAACTACGCCAATATCCGTCATGCCATGAAATGTCTGCTATAAAACAAATCAAATTCTATCAAAAAGTATTATATTTAGAACAGCGAATTCAACATAAAGAAAGACCAAATTACTAAAAACGATTTCCTCATATAACAATTTACAATAAATGTCACCATTAACTGCAAGACAGTAACCAAGTCGATCATAAAATCCATTTCGAACTGCTGCTAATTGATAACTGGATATATCATTTGTTTTAGAAAATTCCATGGCATCGCAGATTATTGAAAAAGATGCGGGTTTTATTTTTCCAATTTTCCGTCTTTATATTAAAAATATTGAAAACCAATACGGTTGATTGGCGTAAACAATTTTTTTCCACAAAAAACTTTAATACATTTTTGCTGTAAAGTAATGTTATGAATTTTACATTGAAATCCCTATGATGCGTTACGCAAGTCACCACCATGTATATTCAATCACATATTATGCTGGAAATCATATTCATAATTTAATACAAAAGATTCCATGCTTTAGTCTATAGAGCTGGTAAGTTTCACAATGTACTTACAGTTATGCTTTTTACACCATGTAGAAACAAACACATGTAGAAAATGACGTTGAAGTTACATACCTATTGAATTTTTCTTGTGTATTTAATCATTGAATAATAAATCAGATTTATTATTCAATGATTTAATAGAAGATCTGAAGATGTATCTACCACTTTTATTGAGTGCTTTTATATGAAACTACATACTTTTCTGAAACACAAAATAAAATCAAGAAATGCAACTCACACCCCTTACAATTTTAAAATGGCAACATACAAAATTCGAGAGCTCTTTGAAGGTGGGATTACAGATACTATTCATCAGCCGAAGTTTATCTATATCCCCTTATACACAGTACCTACTCCTTAAAGACATGCTAATATTTAAGGGGGTGATTCTTGCACCCATTTTAAGAAAAAAACTTCCTATAACTTTTAAGATGCAGGGTGGTAAATGTAAAAAAAATCAGAGAATATTGTGGAGATCTTTATGAAATTTGGTCGGACACGAGGTCGGACAAAGAAAAACCAGAAGATCAAATTTGAACAAAAATGAATGAGGATTTACAAAATAATTTTTATGTTAATTGCAAGCAGTGGCTTAGTATTTTTTTCTCCAAAACTATTCAATGCAAACGCTGCACGGACGCCAGTGGTGGAAAAAATAAAAAATTTTGCGTATCAGAAAATGCATCTTGATGCATAGAAGACATCAGAGCTGGACATGGAGGAATTAATTCGTGCTTCAATTCTATTTGGTGAATTAAATGCAATGGAATTAAGCCTTTTTTAGTACTGCTATAAAAGAGCTTGTAATTAAATGCTTTTACAAAAGGAATTGTAATTGTGAAATGCAAAAAAGCTTAAATCACACGTTAAACTTAAGGCTGACATATGAAGTGTTAATTCCTTTCAAAGATGCTAAATCAGACAACACTGCAGATTGCAGTCAAGTAGTGTCATTTTACTGACGAGTTTTGTATTCAATTTTGCCCGAAATCGTAGTTTAATATAAAATTTCAATTTTCATATACCTACCTAGAACTTTTGATTAATGTCAATCTGTCAGCGATGACAGGGGTCATTATAGACATTTAGCAATGTGACAGATGCGGTCAGAAAAGTGACAGGTGCGACCGGTAAAATTGAAACTAATATATCCTGACATAAAGTAGGCACGCCTGAAAATAAAGGTTCCAAGACGACTTGGGGTAATAGTTATTCACATAAAAGTCAGGGAAATGCCACATTACTGGCGAGGAAATATTGAAGTATGAGACCCCTTTGATTTTTTTAAAACTTTACCACCCTGTATCTCAAAAATTAAAACATTTAGGACATACGTTCATAGGAAGTTTTTTTCTTAAAATGGGTCTGTACCTATATTTAAAGTATACGCATCAGGGTAGAATGTTTCAGATCCATAAAAATATACCTACTGCCCATAGCCGCCGACTTAAAAAAATTCCAGGGGGGCACAACCGTTGCTACTAAAAACTTGACACTGAACATGTACAGTGTGGTCCAATTTCGATGGGATTAAATGGGTAACTTTCTTATTAGCGCAGATAAATGAAAACAGTTGAGGTACTTGTTGCCTCTTTCTTTCATGCTTGTTCCATTACCGTTGCCAGAAGTAGGGTCTTGTCTTCAGTGGCGGATTTAAATTTTTTGCGGCCCTAGGCACACCGAAAGATATGCACCCCAAAATAATCTTTAAATTGTAATAAATTTTAAAATAAAAATCAAATTATAACTTGAAACTAATATGAAAAGAAATACAGTATACCTAAGGATAAGTTTTCACACACGTCAAAACTTGCATTGTCGATTATCGTTCTTACAATTACAGTTTGTTTAAAGTATCTAGGTACCAATTCCAATTTATTTCATAATTTTAATTAAAGATTTTTGTCATTTGTAACTTGTTAGGGACTTATTTTAAAACTTAAAATGCTACCTACCCCTAGGCACGTGCCTAGTGTGCGCATATGTAAATCCGCCACTGGTTGTCTTTTGTTTTTTTCTCAAAAAAACTGGAAAATGGCCGATTCCTTCAATTTTTTGTAACTCCTTTTGAAACTAGAACAAAATCGCTTTAATGTAAAATTCAAAGTTGACTTTAAAAGATCCTACTTGTGTTACGAACTTCCCGAAATGTCATACTTGTTGTCAATAATAAGTTCTCTACAATAAATTTTGTCTGAAAAAATATAGTCGCCTATGAAAAACACTTGACAGCTGTAGTTTTTTTATGTTACCTGGCATAGTTTATTATATTATATTTTTAGACGCACTAAAAGATTTAGTCGATAATATATTCCTTTAGAACAGAGGCGAACGGTTATTTTTCAGCAAGACGGTGTCCCAGTTCATAATGCGTTAATTGCGAAATTATTTAAATTATCTCGTAGCTAATAATTGGATGGGAACGGAGGGACCAATAAACGTTCACTCGACTTAAACCCATTGGATTTCTTTATGTGGTGTTTTTTGAAAAATAAAATTTAGGTATAAATATCCTTCTACAACTTCTACAACCACTATCCTGAATGCAACAAGATCTTTGAGAAAGAGAGGCAACATGTGCATTTCCCATAAAGGAAGGCATATCTTGTTCAATATCAGCTAGTTCACTGTTTTGTTTCTTTAAACGTTGATCAAGTTTATCCTTCAATTGTTTCATAGGCGACTATATTTTTTGTTGCTGATTTTCAGACAAAATTTATTATAAATAAAATTGTTATAG